TGATAACGCTTGAAGTGGGCTCGCACGCGCGGCGGCCATTTTACACTTCCAAGAGCGATACGGCTCACTATACGTTACGTACTAACAGGCTGTATCGTCTGACCGTTCATGAATATTCATGTTTTTGCTTACCTCGGCAAAATGCTTGCCTCTACTAAATGGAAAAATTACCGTGGGGGGTTGGATGAAATGGACATAATGAGCTTGCGACCTATTTTGATGAAATTACGGTGGTTGAACTTTCAAAAGTCAATGAGACATGAGGGTTCCAATAAAAGAGCTAGTGATAACATACGTCGGGGTCGATGTGCTTTTCGTTTAAACAAAACAAAAAATGAATTTTTAACGATTTTGTGTGTAAAAGTCCATAGGCTAACATGTTATGCTGCTGACTCTGACAATAGGGGGCCGTTGTCAAATGAGATTAAACGGAGCTATATGATTACAAAATCTTACTTTAAAATGTACATAAAGAGATATTTTTATATCTGAGTGTTTTCTATTCATGAAGAATTAAACTAAAGAAAAACGAACACTGTCTATAGTATTTGTTCATTTATTTGCAAATCTTGTGGACTAAGTACCATTGTACTCGTGTTGCATCAAGTGTAAGACTTCCGCGGGGGGGGGGGGGGTTGCCAAGTTCCTGTCCCTTCACGAATTAAAGTCATGAGAACTTGGCAAGATTAGACATTACGATAATGTAAGCTGTATCCATATACGATAATATATACCACTTGAATGTTGTAACATAATACAAACAAGACATCGCAAATTTGTCGATGTAAGCACTTATTACAATAGATAAAGATATAGGAGATCAGACCATGGAACATAATGGATAATTTTCCAGAGCCACTTTACTACCATCCATCCCAACATACCCATCGCTTTCCATATTGATACCCAATACACACTCCTCAGGTCAGTGAATCTCTGTTTGCCCCTTTTTTGACCAATATAGACAAAAAAGAAAAGAAAGTCCAGTCACGTTATAGAAAGTAAAAAACATGAACGAGACACAGAAAGAAGTACTGTTAGAAATCAGGGAAGAGATAAAAGAAAGAGAGACAAACAGAGAGACAGACAGAGAAAGAGACACACAGAGAGGGAACCATGAACAAGTAAACGAAAACAAGAGACAGACAGACAACAAAGAGAGAGAGAGAGAGAGAGAGAGAGATAAAGGGGTAGAGATATGTTTTTTGTTTTTTGTTGGGGGGAGGGGGGTGGAGCTTTAATATGTTACGATCCAAATTTACTTACTATTACATTTACAATTTAAACATGTACTTTGTAACTACACATAATACACTACCGAAATATGCAGGTCTCATCTTGAAACGTAGCTTGCGTTTTGCGCGCATAGTTTGGTAATTAGTACGCTGAATTAGGCCAAGTCCAAAGCAAACATCAATTTTGCCCTTCATATAAAATAAACGAGTGTTCTAGCCAGTGGCGTACCTGGGGTACTCCGTCAGGGGGGCAAGCGACTGAAACAAACAAAAAAGGCGATGCTACTGGCGAGCGAGCAAAAAAAAATCTTTAAGTAATGTTTGGTATATAAACTGGTATTGTTGCAAGTTGGGGTGGGAACATTCACTTGTTAGCGACGTTAATTTCATTTTTTTTGCAAACGAGCGTAGCGAGCAAGAAAAAAATCACTTCTTTTTTAATAATTGCCACTTAACTCTCTTAAAGGAAAAGTCCACCCCCAAAATAAGTTTGTTTCGATAGAGGCAGAATAATAAGAAAATCAGGTGAGTGAAAGTTTGAGCAAATTCTGAATGAAAATAAGAAAGTTATGAATTATTGAAGTTGTGATCAATCAAATACAAATTGGCAGCTCTGTGACTTATTATACGAGCTCTCCTTCATTTGCTTTGTGCATAATATTCCATAAAATCATGTTTTCTTCGTTATTGATGACGGAATATATATTTGTTCCTTGCAGGGGAGTATAGAAACATAATATTTGCAATTATTATATTTAGGGTGCATGTATGGTTGAAATTTTTCTTGAGGGAAAATGAAAATTTTAGATTTTTTTAGTACTGAGCAAATGGAAGTTGAGTTCGCATGATACGTCATAGAGTTGCCAATTTGTGTTTGATTGATCACAACTTCAAAAATCCTAACTTCCTTATTTTTAATCGGAATTTGCTCAAACTTTCACTGACTTGTTTCTCTCATTTTTCTACTCCTATTAAAACTAACTTAATTTCAGGGTGGACTTCCCCTTTAATTTCTAGGACTTATTTTAAAGTCCAAAGAATTTATTCTAAATCCAAGGGGGACTTGGGACTCCCAAGTCCCCTTGGATTTAAAATAAGTCCTAGAAATTAAGAAAACTTGGTTCAATTGTCCCATGCAGGGCGCGGGAACAATATTGTGTTTAGGCTAATTTTATACCCATTTTAGCTATCGAGCGAAAATACATCTTTCTCCCAATGAATTGCTATATAAAATTTGTTTCATTGTTGCAGGTCGGGGGCGGGCACAATCGTGTTTAAGGCAATGTCAATCCCATTTTGGCAGGCAGGCAACCCCCTACATTTCTGTTTTTAATGATATTGTAGCAGGTTAGTGGTGGGCACATAATTCCACGAGCTAGCGAGCATAGCGAGCGAGCGAAAAAAATCATTTCTCTTTTATACGGAAAATATGGTACATAAAACTTGGGTTCATTGTTCCATGTCAAGGACGTGATTATTAAAAGCGGTGTTATAATTGTATTTTGGCGAGCGAGCGTAGCGAGCGAGCGAAAAACAAATCACTTCTCTTTTATAGGGAAAATATGGTACTTAAACTTGGGTTCATTGTTCCATGTCAGGGACGTGATTATTAAAAGCGGTGTTATTTCTATTTTGGCGAGAAAGTGTAGCAAACGAGCAAAATTTTTGTAATGATAGTTGGTTCATAAATTTCAAATTTTTTTGTTGCAGGGCAGGGCTTACACAATCATGTCTAAGGTGATGTTAATTCCGTTTTGGCGAGCACGAGCACACCAAAACTTCTTTGAATAACGTTTGGTACATCATTATTAACTGGTTGTTGCAGGTTGGGGCGGGCACGTTAGCGGTGTCAATTCCATTTTGGCGAGCGAGCATAGCGAGCAAGCCAAAAAAAAAATTCTCTTTTAATAGAAATTAATAAATAAACTTGTTTTTATTGGTGCAGGTCAGGATGGACGCAATCGCGTTCAACGCAATTCAATTCCTTTTTGGCGAGAGGGCGAAAAAACTCTTCCATTTTTGATTATATTGTTGCAGATCAAGGGTGGGCACAATTGTTTCCAAAGCAATGTCTATTCATTTTATTCGCGAGCGAGAAAAATGAATTAGTCTCTTTTAGTAACATTTGGTACATACATTGTGTGTTATCGTTGCCATGGTTGCAGGTCGGGGCCCGTTGGGGCAGGCACAATTGTATTCTAGGCAATGCTAATCCTTTTCTTTTTTCAGGGGGACGAGCAAGTGAAAACATTTAATACAAAATAGGCTAGCAAGCAGTTCGCGCCAGCGAAGAGTTTCAAATTTGTTATATCACTTATATTTTCCTATTTTCATTTGTCTTAATTTTTCAGGGCCGTATGCGGAATATTTTTCTGGTGGGGGAGGGGAAAAGATGCGTTAAAAGTTTTCGAAGAATCTCAAAAGCAAAAGGAGTGAAGGGAGTTCGAGCGACCGAACTAGTCATGAGGGTACTTTTGCATTTTCAAAAGTAGAATTGAAGGATTTGGTATAGGCCTACACTACATTTTCAGGAAAAAACTGTACGTTTTCAAAATATCTGGGGTCAACTGCCCCCCCCCCCCCTGGTGCGTACGGCCATGGTCTTTTTTTTTTAATTTCCCTATTTTTTTTCCTTTCCTTTTCTTTTCCCTTTTTCTTCCTTTTCTCTTCTTCTTCCTTTTTTCTTTCCTTCTCCTTTTTTTCCTTTTTTCTCTTTCTTTCCTTTTTTCTTTTTCTTTTCTTTCCTTTCTTTTCTTTTCTTTCCCCTTTTTCTTTTTTCCCCTGGAGCCCGTCAGGGGGGGGGGGCACTCTGCCCCCCCTGCCCCCCCCCATAGGTACGCCAGTGGTTCTAGCCTACTTAGTTATCAGGCCCTGTCTAAACCTAAAAGCGACGAAATGCAATAGTGGAACATGAAAGATTGACTATTAATCATGTCAATACGTTTTTAAATTTGGCCGCGCGTCCAGTTAAGGAGGAGGTTGAGTTCTGGGAAAAGTGAAAGTAGTTTGGGAGCATGTACATTCTTGTAATGATAGTGCGGAAAAGTTTTATACTAAAACGTCCCCAGAAAAAGGATGGTTATTCAAATGCCCTTATGTTCGACATATGGCAAAAATATAGTTGACATTTTTGGACCAAACTTTCATGCTTGTGTAGTCCCATTTACATATTTCAATGGACAGAGTCAACTTCTTATCATTATGAAGATGACAGAACCTTACAGTTGGCACTAACCGTATGCGCTGCAAAATAAACGTTTTACAATTGCTTAGAGAAAGAATCTTTCATAATGCAGTCGCATGGCCAGATATTTATCTTTAAAGCCCACTACACTACTTACACCTACTTGCACCCTCTTTACAGCCAGCAATGACTTAGCGGTACCCGTTGATCCCCCATGATGCCCTTTTTCTTATGTTATTTGAGAGCTGATTTGATCATCAAATCAGCTCTCAAATAACAGATAACCACCTGTCAGTGACCTTGCATGGAGGTATAATCCCTCCACGCCAGACTAGTGCAGAGGGGCTTTAAAATACATGTTTGATTAGAAAGAAGGCGTTCTGGGGCATGGTCGTTGACCTAGATACAGATTGTGATGAAGACGCCACTAACCCAGGTCACGTTATAATTTATGTACCAATTAAATCGATCGGTATAGGTAGCGCGTATCTCTTAATGGTCATTAAGACATCAAGTGCCGTATATGATATTTGCATAGATAGTGAGCCTCATTTAAGGATTCTTTTGAGGCGTTTAAAGAAGCCCGGAGAAACAAAAACACTACAAATATTTAGATGTTTGTGTCATTTATAGATTAAAGCTTTGACAGCGAAGGAATTATTTGCTGCGTGACTTAAATTTTGTTTAGATATTACATACACATTTTTGAGAATGTCGAGAGCGTTGACGAGTTCGATTTTCTTGTTGGCTTTACTTTTCCATCTCAGCTACTGGCAAGCACTCGGAGGTAATGGTCATTTCTTTTGCCATTTTTGTATCTATGTATGCACTACACAATAATTTTGAAATAGTGTTTATCTTTTTAGGAACAGCTGAAAGAAATATATCTCATATCATTCTGTCGAGTCAACGGAGTTATTGTATGGTCAAGACGGTAATGGCTTTCGCCTATAGAATGGAGCCGGGCTTGAATCGAGAATGGTTTTGTTCAATGAAATAGCCTTCAATATTTGACCAACTTGATGATTCATCTATTGACAAATTTTAGGGAAAAGCAAAAGATATTTCTCTTCCAAATAACCCTTTTAAATTTCGTTCTGTTTAGTTTCTTTATTTCTAAGTCCTCTCACTCTTTTTCTGTTCACTCAGTTTCTCTAACTTTCTATAATTCTTTTTTTCCTTCCACATATCTACCTATCGTTGATATTTTTTTTTAATGTATACTCCATTGACTTATTTTAGAGTTTATCCTGCAAAAAAGGCCACGAAAAAAAAAAAAAAGTTCATCCATTCCTTTCCCCCTTTTACTTTTTTCTCCATTTATTTTGTTTTTGTACTAGATGAGCGATTTGAAGAAGCATACTCCAATCTGGTCGAGGGCTTGAAAGAGATCATGGTAGACTGGAACGAGACGCTCCCGAAGCTTCCCGGCTTTGAGTGTTACAAGAACAGGCCGATTGGTGCACCTGTAAGTGGTCTGTTAAGAGCCAGAAGGGTGTTAACTCGTATTCTTCAACATAGAGTTAACGCCCTTCTGGCCCTTCTGAATGTGTGTGGGGGTGTGTGAGAGTGTGTGCGCGTGAATGTGTGTGTGCGCGCCCCTAATTGAGTTTTCACAGACTTTCATCGATCAAGGCATTTATGTGGGGGAAGGTGTGACATAAAATCGAGCTCTTGGTCTCCAAAAGTAGAACAGAGAGCCGAACACTCTGTAAGACCTACTGCTTTTTTATTTTGTTAATAAATAATTTAAATTCGCCCACAACAACAACAGCCATGACAACAACAACAACAACATCGAGGTTAATAGCGCAAACAAGTCTGCTCACTCAATTTCAAACTCATTGCTTACCTTAATTTGAAGGTGGTACTCCTCATCATATCATAAAGTGTACAAGCTCTTTCTTTGGTCCATTTAATATTCAATATGGGTTTTCTGAATGAAATGATACAAATAAAATCCAGTCATTATAGCTTGGTGTGGTATGTAGTACAAAACCGTTTTAGTGTGATGGGCAAATATTGTTCAAATCATCTATGTTTGTTGATTTTAAGGGCCTACAAGGAATTAGCGTTTGCTTGAGAAAATCCGCCGCAAAAAAGAGAGAAAATGATTTAAAAATCGCCTAAAAAAAAGCAATCCTCCTTTTCGGGTCTTGGGAGGGTTGGCCGGATTTCCCCGAGAAAATGATTGACGGGGAAAAATATATATATATTTTTTGTTACCGTATTTGAAGCAGGAAATAGCACTGCTTATTATCATACAATATAAACATATATATAGGTTAAGCGGCGCCACGGTATACTGATTGAGATAACAAAGATAACATCATTTAATTGATGTCATAATTATTGATTGTGCAGCAATAAAAATCTCGAGCGAAGTCTAAGCTGCTGCTAAGGCCTAATGACACTAATTAATGGATTGATACACGACACAACTGTGGCATAATTATTACGAAGTGTTAAAAATAAAAACAACTTTGTATTTTTCCTCTATCATGTATTATTTTTGCTCTAAATATTGCATATTCCCCCACTTATTTTTTCAATAATGATTTACACTTATGCCATCTGAAGTATCATTTGTTTTTCCCTTGATTTTAATTGTATTTTCTACTTCAACAATATTTTGTATTAAATATCGGTTCCTATCTTTCTGTCTTACTAATATTAAATTTTAACTTTAATATGGTACCGAAAACATTCAACGGAAGTGTATTAGGATTAAAGGTATTTGAGAAACGTATATTTATAATATAAGAAATCAATTCAAGTCAAGTTGATCTATGGAGAGAAATTGATTGCTAACAATGCTTTATTTCTGCATCTCTCGTCACAACCTTTTCTTGCAACAGAGTTGCTTTTGTATGAGGAAATATATTTTGCACACATATATACGTAAGTATCATTTCTTATAGGTATCTATATGAGAAATATTGTGTTGTTTTCATTCATTTTGAAGGCGTTAGGTAAAAATCTTGAATTCCCGTGTACAGTCACCATGCCTTCAGATGAGATTCCTACATCTGGTGAGCATTATTACTTTTTTAAACACGTTTTCATGTGGAAATTTAAGTTATTGAAATGCGAATAGACGTTAAAATGCTTGCAAACACATACTGGAAAATTGCAAGTAAATGTTCGTTAAGAGTGCTAAGGCATCAACATGATGTCCTTTTCCACCTCCGTTAGTCAAAATATTTGGACATTAAAATTACCATTATCTCTTTTTAAAAATCAAAAGATGTATAGATCTTTAAATATTTTCTTGGCTTCTTTACCTAATTACAGTTTATAGCTCGATTTTGCGTCATGCAAAAAAAAAGAAAGATGGATAGAAAGAAGAAGAAACAAAAATTAAGAAAAAAATAAGAAAAAAAGAGGGGGAAAAATACACAGAACCTATTTGAATTCCAGAGGAGTAGAAAATAGTTTAAAGCTATGAAATTTCTTAATATTTATAAAATCTAGGCCTATAATCAACAGAATGCGTTTTTTATTTCAAGGAGCAGAGAACACAGCTTACTTGCCATGGTAGAATTAAAATAGCAGTCCAGTAATTGAATATATTACAATATTATCTGCATTTTTTGGATGTAGCATTACCATTTAGAAAGTTGCATTATCATCAAAACAATGATAATATTAATATTTGCCCTTCAGTACATCGGCTACGCCCGGCAGACATCAATGTCATAGGTGCAATGGGGGACTCCTTATCGGTAAGTTTCTATAACTATATAAGAGCCTTTTGTTTATAAAATACTTAAATTTACAATGATAAACGATGATGATAAAGGTATATGCTCTATAAGATAGCTTCCAGCTTTAAAATTGTCAAGTCATCTCCGCTGGAGCCATGCAATGCGCATTGAGTTGAAACCCCTGAGTCACCGTTCGATTTAAAAAAAAATTATAATTATATTTATACTGGGCAGTGACAGTGTAAGTTCAATCAAGGAAGTGGGAGGAGCCTACCTCCTTGGGTGGGAGGAGCTTATACCTCCTTTATTGGTTCAATCAATGCATATGGTTTCAGCATAGATATGTCTCCAAACTCTGTTTGAATTGATTAATGTCGTGGACATAGTCCACTCAAGAAGAAAATGCATTTTAGGTTGTTCTTTTTTTTTTATATTATTTTTTTTTTGCTTGGTTTTCTTTAAAAAATAATCAACGTGTGAATAATGATAGTAGAAGTACGTGATTACTGTCAATTGAAAATAAACCGTAAAAGCATAACTGACTCATTAACACCGAAAATTCACAAAGGTTTCATAAAGACTGACAGACAGATTTTTATGAGTTGTAAATATATAATAATAATAATAATAATAGGCATTTGTATAGCGCCGTCTATCTAGACAATGCTATTCCGAGGCGCTCAAGAAAAATAGAAAAATGAGAAAGTTTGGACGAGAAAGTTCGGATGAGTGTCACAGTGCCAAGTACAGGTATTGTTTAAAAAGATAAGATTTCAGCTTGAATATATCTAAAATATCAACGTGCATCTACAGCACATAACTTGACTTTAACAATTTGACACTTTATTTCATGAATCAGGCTGCCAACGGGGCTGGAGCATGTTTCTTGCCAGAATTAGCTCTAGAATACAGGGGTCTAACATTCAGGTAAGATAAACTACAGATACCGAAACTCTAACAAACTTTGGATAAAAGTGACCATGTTTGATTCTTTGATATCAGAGAAATTTAAGAAAACATCAAAAATTTGTCCCGCCAAGTTAACATTAATCAGGGTTTTTTAAAATCACGTATTGGTTAAGAGACTTTTGTCAAATCGGGTCTTAAAATTGATATTTCTTATTGCTGTGTTCGAGCTATGTAAAATTTATGCTTTGAAAGCATTTAAGCAAATATATTAACCACAACAAGTGTGACTGACATTTAACTAATACGTGAAAATATGTTATAAAGTTGTTTCTTTATCTTTTTTAACACATCTTATAATTGAGTATGAAATTATAGTCAATTGGAGACCTCCTGTCGTAATTACATGAATAACATACTGTCTTGTTGAAGGTTCTTCCTAACATAGTAATACAAATATTATATGATAGGCACGAGATGCTAATTTCACTCTGATACACATTCTGTTACATGGAGTATGCTTTAATTCTACAATAGTTTGTAAAACGATGTTTGCGGTTTATCCTATATATTGAGAACAAAACTTTCTTCCTTTCCTTACATTCCAGTCACGGAGGAGATGAAGGTTTTGAAACAAATCCAACTTTAGCCAGTAAGTGTCAAGAAAACTTTTATTTTACAATATTATTACAGTCAGGATATGTTAATGCTTTCATACAAAAAATGATGATGTAAATATTCAACATCAAGCACTACACTGTCCTTTTTTGTAACGAATCCTTTTATTCTTGTTATTTTAAGAGCAGTTTGTTTCCTATAATCATCGACTTGACGGAAGCGAGTTGATATTCTGTGACTTGTATTAGCAAGGCATGATCAACATAAATTTACTTCAAATTTATCAATCCAGTCATTTGCTAATGAAAAAATGCTGAGATGAAAACGACACTATCCCTTTTTTCAACCAATACACAAAATATGAATATCCAATATCAATGAAATGTATTTCGAGCAAACGGATCATACTTCCAGTACAAGAATGATGTCCATATCTTTAAAATCTCTAAAGCGGGACTGCACTATGTATGCCTCTATATAGCAAACAATTCCTAAGCGGTACCCATTGGTCCCCCATTGTCCCCTCCTTCTTTTTTAATCGAGAGCTGATTTGATGAGGTAACCACCTGTCAGTGACCACGCAGGGAGGTCTAATCACTCCTGGCCTAACTAGTGTAGATATGCTTAAGTTCTTTTCATTACGGAATTGTTAACGCTCATAAATTGTATACAGATGTTTTGCGGAAGTTTAACCCTGCTCTGAAGGGGTACGGATGGGGGACAGGTCGATGGGACTCCGATGAAGCGGGCATGAACGTCGGCTACCCCGGGGACAAGGCTAAGTATGATACAATCATTTTTCCTCAAAGTTATTTGCCTTTTTATCGGCCAAAATCATTTTTTGCATGGCTTTTGGCGTATGAGGGCCCTTACTTTATGTTTTAATTGACATGTATGCTCATATTCAATAATTGCTGCAGCGAGATTTGTTTTATAAAGCTACCCCTTAATACAACCGCCCTTAAAAACACACAAAATAAACATTTGCATTTCAGCTCATTATTACGTTGTTTTAGTTTTTCCTTTTAACTTGCCTTTCATAAGAAAAGAATTAAGAAGTAAGGCTGCCTATAACATGCCGGTCTTGCCATGTCGACAAAGTCTGTGGCAAACCTAAACATTGTAAAATGCCAATTCTAAAACATCCGCGAACTGGACCCATTGAATAAAGAATTCAAGTCCTCCAACCAATCACACAATTTCAATCGCCTATTTCAAATAGGAGATTGCCATTGTTAAACTAAATTGATATCAATACGACTTTTGACAGAAAGTGCTCCCAGTCTACTGAAAACAATACCTTTTAATATCATCTATTCTCAGTGACATGCCTCATCAGGCGGACTGGTTGATCGAAAAGATGAAAGCCGATCCCAACATCGACTACGAGAACGACTGGAAAGTGGTGACGCTCTTCATCGGAGGAAACGACCTGTGCGCCTGGTGCAAAAACATTGTGTACTACGCGTCTGACAACTACGTCAACTTCATTCACGAGTCGCTAATGACTCTGCATGACCAGGTATAGTAAAACAAATTATTTATGTTTGTAAATATCTTAATTTGTCATTAATTTTGTGTATTTCCTTCGAAAGTTTGTATATGTTATGTTTTGATTTCTTAATAAACACATAATTTTAAAAAAAAACTTAATCAGCAGGAGCAATAACATCTACAACGACAACAATAATGATAGTAGTAGCAGTGGTAGTAATAATAATGATGATAATAATATTAAGTAAGTAATTAAGTAAGTAGTAGCTCTATGACAGAAGAATTTATTTTTCATTTCTTTTCACATAATATAAACAACGACAGACAATAATAAACGTAATGATATAACAGAAATAAGCATTGAAATATCTTTGACATTGTTTTTGGTCATTGTAATGCAAAATGATTATTACTATTAGTAATAATGATAATAGCAATAATAATAACAATGATAATAACAATAATAAACAATCCTCACACATGCAGTCTCTTGCTGACAGGAAGATGGGCACTATAGTGAATAGCCAGAAAATAACTCCAGTGAAGCATTAATCATTTTAATCCAAATGGATTCTTTCACCTTCCGTGGCCAGAAATTTGTTTCAAAGTCAATAGTATGGGCATCATCCTATCAGTCAAATATTATATCCATTCATGTCTTTTCGCTGTAGTGATCTTAATTATAAGAAGAATCAAGCAGGGGCGTACGCAAGGGGGGGGGGGGGTTGGGGGTTGAATCCCCCCTTTGGTATTTTTATGTGTGTAAACCCCCCTAAAACCCCTTTAAAACCCCCCCCCCCTTTGGGTTTTTTTTTTTAATTATAAAAAATAAAAAAAATTATGCCCATGACCTTACCCCCCCCCCCCCCCCCAACGAAAAACATGTCAAATTTCCAAATTTCGAGACCAAAAAAAACAAAAAACGTGTCCTCTCCCCCCCCCCCCCTTTGGTATTTTTATGTGTGTAAACCCCCCTAAACCCCCCCCCTTTGGGTTTTTTTTTTTTAATTATAAAAAAATAAAAAAATTATGCCCATGACCTTACCCCCCCCCCCCAACGAAAAACATGTCAAATTTTCAAATTTCGAGACCAAAAAAAAACAAAAAACGTGTCCTCTCCCCCCCCCCCCCTTTGGTATTTTTATGTGTGTAAACCCCCCTAAACCCCCCCCCCCCTTTGGGTTTTTTTTTTTTAATTATAAAAAAATAAAAAAATTATGCCCATGACCTTACCCCCCCCCCCCCCCCCAACGAAAAACATGTCAAATTTTCAAATTTCGAGACCAAAAAAAAACAAAAAACGTGTCCTCTCCCCCCCCCCCCTTTGGTATTTTTATGTGTGTAAACCCCCCTAAACCCCCCCCCCCCCCTTTGGGTTTTTTTTTTTTAATTATAAAAAAATAAAAAAATTATGCCCATGACCTTACCCCCCCCCCCCAACGAAAAACATGTCAAATTTTCAAATTTCGAGACCAAAAAAAAAAAAAGTGTCCTCTTCCCCCCCCCCCCCCCCCCCGCTTATTCAGCGGCTGGCTGAGTCGGTTGCGATTTTTCGGGGACCACAAAAAAAAAGTGACCTCTTACCCCCTCCCCCCCCACTGAGCGACTTTTCGGCCGGCTGAGTCGTTGCGAAATTTTGGGGCCGATTTTAAACCCCCCCCCCCCTTGAAAAATTCTGCGTACGCCCCTGGAATCAAGCATGGCTTTGTGTGTGTGTGTGTGTGTGTGTATGACGGTTTGCACTCAATGTCAGGATAGTATAATCACGAAATGAATATCCTTTATTCCTTAGTCCTATATCGCACCGTTGAGCGACTTTTCGGCCGGCTGAGTCGTTGCGATTTTTTTTTAACCTCCAAAAAAAAAAAAAAAAAAGTGTCCGCTTACCCCCCCCCCCCCCCCCCCCCCCCCCCCCACTGAGCGACTTTTCGGCCGGCGCGATTTTCAAATTTTCGGGAGCAAAATATTTTAAAACCCCCCCCTTGAAAAATTCCTGCGTACGCCCCTGGGACTACACAAACATGAGGCATAAAAATCTGGCATTATTTTTAAGCTGTTATTTGTCATATTTAGAATGTGAAGGCATTTGAAGAGCCATGCTTGTCAGGTAAAATTTTTTCTCTGATCTTCGTCCACACTTGCATAATAATAATGACAACGCTCACCAATTATTTTTCACCTCTCTCCGGAACTCAACCTTCTCTTTAAATATCTTTCATTTTAACTTTGCCATTACCTTACAATGAGATTACTTTCTGCACACTCTTTAGATGCCGAGGACAATCGTCAATGTAGTGGGACTCTTACAAGTTTACCAAGTGGAGATTTTGAGTAGCACAATATGCGATTTTATCCATCAGTGAGTTGAGAGTTACAACCTCAATGTTGTTTTTACATGCACTCAGCAAAACAAAAGTGGACACTAATTATAATGAAGATTTTCAAATAAATATTTGATATAAATATATCCTTTGTAATTATGTCAGAATAAACATAAATTAATCCTCTTTTAGATGATATACAATATGAATCATACCGTTCACGCTCTGAAAGAACATTGCAAAAGTAGAGCAACTGACCATTCAAATGTTGATGTTAATTAAGCGGAGTAGAGTATATTCATCCTGAGTATATTCATAATTATAGTAGCTGCACTATATAATTTGACCGATTATTTTTATTGTTGTTATTTCTATTATTATCGTACCGAGAATTGATATGAGAAATCTTTTTGGAACCATAACAGGGGGGTTTGTTCGTGTGGGATGTTCTTGACTCCTGATGAGCTGGCAGAATTCGAAGCCATGAACAGACAATATCAGGTACATCTTATCGTTACAATTAATACGCCGTTGTAAAGAGAAGGATACCATTATTTGAACATAAAGTAACCTTTTATTTGGTATCAACCATCAGCCATGTAACTTTTGAAAGTTACCTTTGCGATCAGGTGGGCCTTTAAATGATGCATTAAGATTAAGGTGCGCCTGTTGGACTTTTATTGGGCAGTTAAAGCTAATTAGCCTAATTAAAGGGCGACTTTGGTATTTACGTTTTTAATAAGTCAATACAACAATGGGACAACGCCTTATGAAGATAATATTAAGATAAATAGTCGCAGTAGGCAACCCTTAACCGTTTCTCTATTGATTGTTTTCACATCTTAATGTGCATTTCAATCAAATAAATGTTTAAACAAGCTATGTTAAACTCGATATCTGCTATCATGCTTTATCACGAATAAATCTTTATATCACTTCTAACTTAGGTGAAACTAACGGAGGATATTAACAGTGGGCAGTATGACGACAAAGACGACTTCACGGTGGTTTTACAACCTTTTCTTCAAGAGACAGCCGTGCCTATGACAGAGGTAAATAGGGATCTAAAACTTGACATCAAAATAGAGGTCATCAATTGAATGGTATATTATACCGCGTTCCCTGGGCCCCGTCTACGATGAAAAAGTATTACTCACTCCCCCCCCCCCCCTCCCAAAAAAAAGGGAAGTAAACAAGAAAAATATCAGATAAAAGAGCCAATGTAAAAGCTATCCCAAATATAAAAATTGTTATTGGAACTTTGTGTCATCTGACTTGGTTTTCCTTTTCTTTCTCTGCTCTTAGAAGAAGCTTCAAAATATAGTGCTCCTCTTTTTTTTTTTTTTTTAATAATTTATTCAAATAATATAACGTGGCTTCCGAAAAATATATGTATAAAAATGTCCTGATTTTTCATGATTGAAACATTAATTAATTGTTTTCCCATAAGATGATTGATCTTTGATAATTTTTCATTTCTGAAAATTTATTAGATTTTGATTGGAACTGCAGATGATTAACAATTTTATCCACAATCTAATTTATAACTAAAATTACTTTACTAATAATTTGTTTATTTAACTGAGCATAAGTCTATTTTCCAATGCATCACTCCAAAATTATCAAAGAGAAGCCATACTTATATCGATGGTCTGGTGTACACGTAAATGATAATTAGGAATCACCCGTTTGATTGTTTACCCATATGATTGATGTATGCTAATGATTTTATCTTGCAGGATGGAGACCCAGATTTCTCATACTTTGCCCCAGATTGCTTTCATTTCAGTGCAAAGGGGCATGCGCAGTGTGGAATCGAACTTTGGAATAACATGGTACGCATTCTTCTTTAGTTTATAAAGTCAAACCTGTCTATAAAGTCCTCCCAAGGGGAACATGAAAGCTGGCCACAGATGGCTTGTCTAGACAGGTCTTCCAACACATGTTTCTTCTCAGAGGAAGACAACACAGTTGACCATTATAGACAGGCGGTCTTTATATAGAGGTGGCATTTAAGATAGGCTTGGCTCTACAACAATCTTAGTCCGTTTAGTTTTAAATCACAAAATCATATATTCGATGATGATCTAAATATGAAATATCGTAAAACAAATTTCCCGTTTCTTTTTTGAAGTTTGACGTATGACAGTAAAAGTGCATTGCATTTTCGCAAATTAAATTCGATTACAGTGTCCCTATATTAAAACAGTATGAATACTACATAACAACACATTTTACCATTTTACACACTCTCATACTCTGAAAGTGTTTCAAATTCAGCATGTGATGTCATTGTAGCCATAGAAAATACATTAAATCGTGTGAAATCACCTGTATGAACGTAGTGTAAAAGTAAAGGAGACATTAAAGCAGGATCGCACTGTCAATAATCATGATAATAGTCACGAAGTGGTTAGTCTGCAACAATTGTATAATTGTCTCTGCAATCGTAGTGTAAATTCTATTTAAAATCCACTCCTCAAAACTTACCTATATCAACAAAATGTGTAAATACTGCATTCATTGTAGGAGCCTTGCGCTTTTGAATGTTTTTTCTTTGAGGTACATGGCGCCATGTGAATGCTATGAATCACCATCACCACCACCACCACCACCACCACCACCACCACCATCATCATCCTCACCATCACCACCACCACCACCACCATCACCACCACCATCATCACCACCACCAACAACACCACCACCACCCCCATCATCATCATCATCATCACATCATCATCGTTATTGAAATAACGTTAAAAGAGTAGTGTTGACTCATTCTGAAAACAAGGGGAGAATGCATAGTCAACCCTATGATTTTGTTACTTAATATACCAGTTTTCTAATGTAACCAAATTGAATGCAAACGTTTTTGTGAAGTGCTTCAATACAAATATTTCATTCACCTGTTATGAATAGTTACTATAATGCAAAATGTTTGTATTACGTGTTGTTACGTAGGGAAAGCCATAATATTTGTCTTACCTGGCAACAACTAATGTATGCAGTTCGCATTCTGACTAATGAAATAAAATTATTCATGACAGATGAATGAAATAATTCGTATCCAGGCACTTCGCAAGGACGTGTGCATTTATAGATAGTGTTACGTTACGAAAATGGTCTATTCACGTAATGTTCAAAGTGAGTGTGAGCTAGTGTCACAAAGGTTCGTACGAACGATTATTTCGTACGAATCTCCTTTTTTTCCATTGTCTTCCCGAATTTCCATTGTCTGAAAATCGTTCGTACGGCGTTCGTAGCAGTTCGTAATGGCATTTGTGACCGAAGCTTTAGTCACTATGAATATGACTGACAAAGAAAGCGGACAAAATATACAGTTCCTCAGGTATAGAAAGGAACATCCCTTCACTGCTATTATATAAAAATGTGTAGAACAGGTGTCACATGCACATTCACCATTTTACATAATGTTCCTTTGTCTACCTGAGGAACTGTTTATTTTGTCCGCTTTCTTTGTCCGTCATATTCATAGTGAGTCTCTGTTATTTTTTGTTTGTTTCTGATAACTCCATCGCATCAACTATACACTGTATTATAATTTGTCTTATTATAGATCGAACCTGTTGGAAACAAACGTGTGACTTGGGATCCTACAGTGACCGATATCTCTTGCCCAACTGAAGTAAATTACACTTATCCATTTATTTCCTTTTATGTATCACTGTTTTAACATCTATCTCAGTCGTGGAAACTACTTATTTGTTTTATAAAGTGCTTTTTATAGTATGTCATGCATGGAGCATACATTATTAGAAATCATAATTGTGCAACGGATTTTCGTATAGGAATAGAAGTATATCGTTTATGCTACGAATGTGAATGACGTGGGCTTTAACGGATGAGGGTCTTCGTTTGTTAAAGTATTAAATTACAATGGGTGAATTCTGTAATTATGGAATTTTGATCATCCAACTATTACGTAAATCAGGGCCCCGTCTTATAAAAAGCTGCGATTGATCCAAATCAATCGCAAGTGCTCAAATCAATCACAACTTTGTAGTCTCTTATCTCTTAGGTACATAGATGCAATTGATATCAATCGCAAATAAGTTGCGATTAATAATTATCTAGACATTTACCAAATAAGTATAAATGTATGTTTTAAGCTGAGTGCGGTATTACTGTGGCGTATCCATACATTGATATATCGGGGCGGCATCCTCCCCATATCACCCAAGTGACTGTGGGTGTAACGAATCTGGGGCAACTCTGCATGGTTTAATAATAATAATAATAATAGGCATTTCTATAGCGCCGTCTATCTAGATAATTCTATTCCGAGGCGCATTTATTATTACCCCGACTTTAGCGTAGCTGCCATTTAAACAGCGCCCCAGCATTTCAAGGAATTAATTCCTGCCAGGTACCATTTACATCACCTGGGTTGAGTGTGACAGTAGATCAATGTATTGCCAAAGGACACTAGTGCCGCGGCGGGACTCGAGCCGCGGACCTTGTGCTCGACAGTCCGGCGACGTATCCACTCGACCACGACACCTCTACAAATAATATTGCGGATGGTATTGATTTTATTCATGGCCTTTAATCCGGAGCGGGGGGGGGGGGGGGGAGACTTTAATACTCCAGATGCTATAGGGTTGCCACGATACAAGCGACTCACTCTCTTATGTTTTTTTAAATTATGTTTTATCATATTTCATTTTGCAGGAGTTCCCTTACATCTACACAAACCTGAACAGCCAACCTGAATATTGGGAGGCCACAACACCCGCCCCTCCGGCTGAGGGCGGTGCCAGCATCACTCACTTCTCTCGCGTGTTTGTTTTCTGTCTCCTGTGCATTATAGATTTACTCAGGGACTAAAAAGTATTCTTGAAATGAACGGACTGATTGAATTCTATACTAGAGAAATCGATAAGGAAAATTAAAAAAAATTCTTGTACATAATACAATTTTGCATGATATTTCCATTTTAATAGTGGTAAAAACCTATCAATTATTGAGTGCAGTCCTGCATATTCTATTATTAATATTATAGTGATGTTTCATAGTTCATATAGACTCCTTCATGTCATTAATTTGTTTTTTGCTTTATACGAATGTTATGATATAAGAAAAAATACAATTTTAGTAGGTAATCTGAATTTATCAAAAACAATTACCTAATGCTGCATTCATAATTATTAAAGTTTGAAATGATTTAGTTCAGTTTGCAGACTTTCCAAATTGTTGTTATAATAGCATGTATATATACGAAATGTAGATTTGTAGTTTGTCTTGAACTGGAATTATAGAATTATTGACAGACACTGTATAATGCATCGTATTGCTAGTAAAAATCGGTTTTATGTAGACAAGTATCACTTCAAATATCAATGAAATGTATATAGGTACTGATGTTCTATTACATATTGTTATATGTTCATGGCATAATTTAAGAGATTGGAGTACTAAATACTGAAGAAAAAAATAGTTTGTTATACTAATTATAAATACTTCTACAGTTAAATGTGTTTGTTCTTTTTTTCTTGATTGGCATTTATGTAATAAAAAATGATAGCAGAAAGAAAGAGAAAGATAGGGCTGAGTGTTTAAAAAATGACTAAATAAAGAAGTGTTGGTTTTGGCTTGATAAAGGGTTCGTGAAAAAAAAAACAGAATTCGATGGGTTTACATGAGAATAAAAACCACAATCATATTGAGAGAGAAGGAGAGAGAAAGAGAGAGAGAGAAACAGAAAGAGGAGGGGAAGAGGGGAGGGGGTCAAATTACATTTCAAGAATACAACATAATAAAATATCACAAGTTTTGTAATGTGTATACAATATAATGATAATAAATGATGACATTAAAACATTACTACTACGGTAAAGAGTGCATGACATACACTCGTGAGCTCTGTAGCTTTTGCAATTTTTTGTATAGTTCTCCTACATATGCTGTTTCCAATTGTGGACTGAAGTTTGATTCTATAGCAAGGATCCGGCAGGACAAATTTCAGTTGATTTCAAGACAGGAAGAAGAAGATATAAGTGGAGATAACTTTCCAGGTAGTACTGTATCTGATTCTACATTGGCAGCCATGATACTTGGCTGCCTGGAGATGTTCACTTAACCTTGTCAGCTGAACAAAGGATTGTTAAAGTCTACTGTGCCTTCAGAACTGTGAGTTAAGTACTTAAGAATGGAGCTACATTGTTATCTCCTTTGTGCCCTTATATGCGGAGTGCAGACTGGGTGGAATAAGCCCAATCAACAAGATTACTTCTTTTCTTCAGAGGTCCATCCCCGAGAAATTAACTCTTGCTTGAATAGGCGTTTTGTTGGGAGGAGAATACCCCATTACTCCAATACAACATCCACTTTTCAAGTAGAAATCTTTTCTTGTGGGGATGTCGAATCTAACCCGGGACCTCATGGGGGTTTATTTGAGGTCACTGCCCCTGATCCACCCCGCCCCACGACAAGCAAACTTCTGAGTTGTACTTTACTTAATGCAAGAAGTTTGCGTTCAAAGATACCTGAACTTGAGTCATATATATGCACCACCAAACCAGATATCATTTGTATAAACGAGACATGGCTTACTGAAGATATTTATGATGCGTCACTGGGGTTTCCGAATGAATACCTTGTTTTTCGACGTGATCGCGCTGATAATCGACGAGGAGGGGGTGTTCTGCTGGCACTCCATCGGCATCTGAAACCCGACCGGAAGAGCATCCACAACGACACCTTAGAATTAATCTGGGCCACGTTCAAGAATGGCTCTGACTCGTGGCTTATTGGCGTTCTGTATAGGCCTCCAAACAGCAACGCATCATATTGGGAGTTGCTACAAGCTGAGCTGGATTCTGTGAAATCCGATGACTACGATGGGCTTCTTCTCCTAGGGGACCTCAACGTCGACATGTCCCCTAATGTTCTTTCAAACAACCGGACCCATTTGTCATCTTTCATGAATGACTTCGATCTCACTCAAATGGTAGCTTCTCCTACTCGTCTGACCGCTACGAATGTCTATTCAGGGTCACTCATAGACTTAGTATTGACCAATCGTGACCATGCCATAACAAATGTTCATACTATGGCCAATCCTGTGGAATCGGACCATTTGGCTGTTTGCGTTCGTCTTCGCTCATCGCAGCCCGCTCCAATGCCTTCTGTTCTCCGGTCTTTCCTACATGTCAACAAGGGAGACTTTGACCACCTGCGGACTCTTCTTCATCTCATTCCCTGGAACTCATTTCTAGACCCTTGTAATGTTGAAGAAAGTTCTGAACTATTCTTAGATCTTTTTAATGCAGCAATTAAAGAATCGATTCCACAATCATCTAAGCGTAAATCCAAATGCTCACCATGGATCACAGCTGAACTCAAGAAACTTATTTCTAAGAAACACTGTCTGTTCAGAAACGCTAAAAGAACTAAAGCTCCTACTGACTGGGTTACATACAAAACTATTAGGAATCAGGTGAAAACCCTCACAAGGAAAGCTTACTGGACTTATGTTAACACGTTATTTGCACGTAAAGACAACAGGAAGAGTTTTTGGTCATTTGTACGTAGTCGTAAACAATCACTACCTCCTCCTAAATTTAAGTATAATGAAGCACAGTTTACTCAACCAGATGATATAGCTGCAGCTTTCAATTCTCATTTCTCTTCAGTTTTTTCCCCTCCTTCTACTCTACCTACTGAAGCTCCTGAGTGCACCTTGCCTATCACTGAACTTAATCGTTTAACAGTATCTGATACAGATGTCAGCTCAGCTCTCTCCAGATTACCTGTAAATAAATCTCCTGGGCCAGACGGTATTTCACCAAATGTTCTCTCTAAAGTAGCTTCTGAAATTTCACATCCCTTGTCAATTCTGTTCAATGCATCTCTGAGTTGTGGTAAAGTTCCTTCTTCATGGAGAAAATCCCATATTACTCCTGTATTCAAGAATGGTGATAGGTCGTTGGTCTCTAACTACCGCCCAGTAGCCCTTACTTCTGTGTTATGTAAAGTTCTAGAGAAACTTGTAGTCAACTGCATACAGGAACATGTAGGGTTATACGGTCTGATGAGTAAACACCAACATGGATTCACTAAAGGTAAAAATTGTGTAACACAACTTGTAAACTTGGTACATAATTGGGCAGCCTCACTAGACAAACCACGCCCTCCACACATTGATGCAATTTTTCTTGACATGTCAAAGGCTTTTGATAGAATGCCTCACAATATCCTCCTATCCAAGTTAGCAACCCAGTACAATATTCGTGGTAACATATGGAAGTGGGTACGTTCCTTTCTATCAAATCGGCTCCAAAGAGTAATGTTCCTGGGTTCTCTCTCTTCTTGGAGTAATGTCCCTTCTGGTGTGCCCCAGGGTAGTGTAATTGGACCGCTACTTTTTAATCTATTTGTCAACAATGTTATCTCTGATGTTTCCTCCGATCTTTTTCTTTTTGCTGACGATATGTTACTGTTTCGTACAATTCGTTCACACGATGATGAAATGCAATTGCAACATGACTTAGACTCACTCCATCAATGGACAATTACAAATGGCATGTCATTCAATCCATCCAAAACGAAAGTGATGCATATAACTAGGAAGCGGAACATCCAAAATGCCGTCTATACCCTGGGTGACACACTGCTTTCTTCTGTCACTTCTTACAAATATCTTGGTATTGTAATAGGTTCAAACCTCTCTTGGAACATTCAGGTTGATGCAATTACTGCACGCGCGAGTCGTCTTCTTGGGTTTATAAGAGTTGTAGCCCGTGGTTCGTCCACCTCTGCTATATTTGCCCTCTAAGGCCTTGGTACTGCCAATACTTGAATATGGCATCCCTGCATGGCATCCCAATACCCTAAAACAAACACAACAATTAGAAAGAATCCAACGTATAGCAACGCGCGTTGCTCTTAAACAGAGAAGAGGAGAAATGCCGTATGAAGAAAGGTTAAGGGTTCTCAACTGGTCTACCTTGTCAGCTCGTAGAGATTATCTTTTATGTTCATTTACCTTCAAATGTCTGTACTTTTGTTGTGACTGTGAAACACTAATAGAAAACATAGCCATTAGCAAGAGACGCCTCTTTACACTGTCCTTCATTCATCAGCAATCACGAACACAGGCCCTGTTCCTGTCCGCTTCCCGGAGATTTCCTCGGGTATGGGATGAATTACCGTTAGAGGTTAGGGATGCATCGGTGGTCTCCTCACTTTCATCCTTTCTACTCTCTATGAGGCGGTCCCTTCTCGATTCTAACTAATTTTCAAACTGAGAGGGGCTTCCTCACTGAGAGTGGGGGATTCCTCCTTTTCTTTAATAATCATTGTTTATCAATATCCAAGAACTTATTGAAACACTGGATTCAGAATGTTACTTGTTTAATTTTTTTTTTTTTTTCTTTCAATGATACAATGATTATATTAATTGAACCTGGAACAATGGTCCACATTGATAGCTTCATATCCACATTATGCCACTCTTCTTAAATGATAACACCATAGGCCCTACTCAATATTTTGTGAATGATTATCAATCCTAATGCTTATTGCACCTTTAATTTTTGCAAAAATTGTACATTATTGTGGTACATGACGTTTTATAATTTCCTTGATTGTATAGCCCAAAACAATATTTACGCTTTATTCATATGTATATTTTTGTTATATACAAGAAATTGCTGGTCAGATTTACCTTGAACAATTACACATCTCTTCTTTTTTCTTTTTAATTAGAATTTCTTTGAATGAGACACCGTTGGATCAATTGAATAATGACGATTTATGTTAATTGTGTTCTGGTTATTTTAAGTTTTAAGTTTTTTTTGCATACAAATCTTAAAGCACTCTATTCATTGCAGCTTCATATCCTCTTAATGCATTTATCGAAATTTAATTTAATTTAATCATGATTTTCTGAATGATTGTTTGTAATTATTTTGTATACTTATATAATGTGAACCTTGCAATATATTCTATTATGTCTCGGAATGGCATGTGAGGGTGCACATGCCCCCGGGCAACAGGGAAGAATTTCGCTTTTGTGCACCCTGACCCACATGCTATTCCTTCTTTATCTTACTTTGTATTTTTCCTATTTCACTCTGTATACACCTATATACACTGTACATGCTGAATGTGTTTTTATGGTCGAATAAATAATAATAATAATAATAATTAAGAAGAGCTAGAGAGGAATAGAAAGGTGAGAGATATTAGAAAAAACAAGAGCGAGATAGATTGGACAGATCAGAGAAAGGTGAAAGGGAGAGAGCAAAACAACCAGATAATGATGGTCCAGCATGAAAATCAAGTTTCCTATCCCTAATTTGCTGCATGCCTGTGTATTTAAAAAAAAAAAATTATTAATTAATTAATTTATTTATTAATTTATTTTTATTTATTTATTTATTTATTTTTATTTATTTATTTATTTATTTATTTATTTATTTATTTATTTATTTATTTATTTATTTATTTTTTTTTGGGGGGGGGGTTCCTTGTACGTCCTTTGTATGTTCCTTATAATTTAGGTGTTCGAAGATATTTCAGCTAGGGCATCTAAATTCATAATGAGTATAGCTATAGCTAGACGGTTGTCAAAATCTCAGCTGCACCGTTTCTCTTTTTCTTCTTCTTCTCCTTTTTCTTTTTCATCTTGTACTTATTACCATTTCTATCATCAGTTTAATGTTGTTGTTATTATTATTATCATTATTATTATCATTATTATTATCTTTCATAATTTGTTTTGACTTTATCTATCTGTAAATATTACTATTATTTAACTTATTAAATTTGTACATGGCTGTCGGGAACCTCACTGGAAATAAGCTCTCGAGCTTTCGTGAATTATCCTGTTCAAGCTGATTTAATTTTGATCTGTTATTCTCATAGAGATATATACTTAATAAGTATATATCTCTATGGTTATTCTTGTATGTTGGAAGCTTGACGAATAAAAATCAATTAATCAAACAATCGTGGTGATTGAAAAATCAGTTATTTTATCTCAAGGTCAAAAATTTGTTAGGGGGAGGGGGAGGGGGAAGGGAACTGCCCCCCGTTGCCCATCCCATTCAAACTTTTGGTGCCTATCAAAGTTAAAGTGAATGTTTAATGAGCAAAACTGAAAGGCGATGTATGTGATATAAAGGACACAAAGTTAAGGTTACAGAAAATAATCATGATATTCCTCAATTCTGCATCAATGCACATGACAATCTGAATCTGGGGGCCAGGCGGGTGCTTGCGGTATATGCATGATCGATATGAATCACCGCCGGTCATCTACAGACAAGACGAAATTCGCCGGAATTACAGATAATAATCAAGGCTTTGTAATAGTAATCCGAAGAATTAGGATCGCAAAGTTAGGATGGAGCTAAGGGAAGAGAGGATTGATTTACAGAGAGGCAAAGCAGGTAATATAGAAAAAGAGGAAGCGAGAAGAATGACGATTTTTAGGTTACAGATTACAGGAAATCGTGCATAGACTTGCACACATTTGTACAATTATGTTAATGTATTGTACCATACGTTGGGTTTGGTGTATGTGGTTATTCCTTGTAGAAAAAAATCATTGCGCAGTGACATAGTGAGAGGTAATATTCACCAACTGGCATCGGATAGATGGTGTAAACCGGAATAGTGATGCTATATTATATGCAGAATTAAAAATAGATGTAGATGTGAGTTATGGTTATCATTTTACACAATTTTTATGTGAAAAAAATATAAAATTGACAACAGGCATGACTTTCATTTCAAATTCAATCGGTCAATTTTTGGTTAGAAAATGTTATCACACATGCAGCTTATTGACTTCCAAAAAATTAATAGGAGATGTGAGAATGAGTAAAATCTGGTGAAGGGGAGATACTCCTTGAGGGGAAAATGAGCATTGAGCTGAGAGTGTGTTTCTTCATTTTCATCTTGATCTTGGAAACCCCCAGATTTGTTGCTATGGAAATGAAAATACTTTGAGTGCAGATGCTAAGAGGAGGAAGTTTTGGCCAATTTAGACAAATAAAAGTGTCAGAAACTTGAATTTTGCTTTATTTTCTCTTCTTCCCCAAGATCACAGAAACCCATAATGCAAAAGATAATTGCCCACAAGAATCATTTTTCTCTTTCCCTGGCATGGGAGCAGATTATAAAGAAATTTGATGGAGAATTCATCGCGTGCTCCTTGCCTAGACCGAATTTTCTGTCTCTTTCGTTCGTTAGCCTCTTATTGGGGTAGGGTCGGCCAGCTCTCTCTTTAGAGACGGAAACCGTCTATACACATTCCCTTGATAACGCCACGGCCATTTCAGGTCGTAGCGTTTTGCCCCCAAAATCCCCCAAAATGTCATTTTACCTCATGCATTGATTATTTAAAATTAGGAGAAGGTTATACTACATCAGTTCCACTTACCAACTTGACTGAAATAATCCGTTTAATGGTCCCTTTTAAGGAAATTATGGGTCAAAATCGACATCCATGTTGAAATCTTGCAAGCCGTGTTAAACTCTCGCTGCGCACGGAGTCATCTAAATCAATCTCATCCCTTTTAGTCTACGCCGAAGGCAAAACGATTATGAAGGAAAAACTGTGATAACGCCATTACGAACGTGTAGATGGCGCACAGTTTTTCCTTCTAGAAGGGATGAGATTGATTTAGATGACTCCGTGCGCAGCGAGAGTTTAACACGGCTTGCAAGATTTCAACATGGATGTCGATTTTGACCCATAATTTCCTTAAAAGGGACCATTAAACGGATTATTTCAGTCAAGTTGGTAAGTGGAACCGATGTAGTATAACCTTCTCCTAATTTTAAATAATCAATGCATGAGGTAAAATGACATTTTGGGGGATTTTGGGGGCAAAACGCTACGACCTGAAATTGCCGTGGCGTTATCAAGGGAATGTGTATAGACGGTTTCCGTCTCTAAAGAGAGCCGACCCTACCCCAATAAGAGGCTAACGAACGAAAGAGACGGAAAATTCGGTCTACTCCTTGCCGTGTGTGATAAAATGAACCAACAAATTTGCTCAAACATTGCCCAGTGGAAACAAAAGACCCAATTACGATTCATGGCTCTTGTTGTATACAAAATATCTTCAGAGAAGGTGGGGTGTTTTATCTCAATTTTTTATGAAAATATTTTTCTTTTCTTTTTTACAGGTCTTGGATTCAACATCAAGGGAGGAGAGGATCAACCTTTGGTTGCTGGAGACACAGGAATCTTTGTTACAAAGATCAGAGAAGAAGGAGCTGCTTCTAAAGATGGAAGACTCAAGAGAGGAGACAAGATCTTGGAGGTAAATGCCAACATTAAATGTAATGCAGGGCATCGCTTCCTGAAACCGTCATTTACAAGTTCACCGACATCCCATCGAAATGTGTGTTGAATTCTAATACACAAGTTTTATTTCAATACATGCATTTCAATGGGATGTCCATGAACTTGTACTTATGATGGTTTTGTGAAACATTGCCAAGTTTTGTTCAAGTTGAAAGGAAAACATTTGTTTCCTAGATTTTTCAGTGGGTACTCTATGATGTATTTACGTGTGTATGTGGGGCTGTGTTAGTGATGACCTTGGTCTACTTGTGGAGGTAGAGTCTAGCAGCACCAAAGTGCTCATAAGAATTGCAAGCTATATTCCAATATTCCAAAAAAATCTTCAGGTAAGCTTACTTTCTACACTGCAGAATTATTTAATACAAGTGCTATCAGAGGCTAATATGATGCCTGTGATGGGATCTCCATGATGTGGCATTTTCAGGCTGACGATTGTTATATTGTTGCATGCTAGGATGAACCCTGACGCCACCAAATCCTCTCTAGAAACTAGAACCCCCCCCCCCCCCCCCCTTTCCCATTATGAAGATTATTCCACAGATAACCTTGAATTGACTGGCTATACCTCTGAATGTCTATATAGTGACACAAGCCTCTTATCTTTACTTTCGTCTACAGATCAACGGTGAGGATGTGAGAGCTGTACCACACAAGAGGGCAGTAGATCTATTTGTAGGTGCCGGTGAAACAGTCAAACTCTTCGTCCAACATAATGCCGAAGCACTGCTTAGGGTAAGTCTCTATACATGCCCTTAATTAAGAATAATCGCTCTTGTCTTAATGACTTTGTTTTTTAATGTAGTGGCTTAATTTGCAGTGGCTTTAAACTGCTGTGGAGTATGAGAAAAAGAAGTTTTGATTATTGTCAACTTACAAAGTCTTCCAAAATGATATATATATATATACCAAAAATATTATTGATAATAATAAAATTTTAATCTATATTAAGTCACTATTACATTGACTCCCTCAGATGTTCAGGCATTATGTGCATACAGCCAGCTTATGTAAAGGCTTGTGCAAACAAGTGAGTCTTTGATAAAGCTTTGAACATGCAGAACTAGAAGATTATTACAAGATCTAGTTTCTAGAGTAGCCCGACTGAAAGTGCGTTCTCCGTAAATGTACATATATATATTAAAAAAAATTTTTTTTGTACATGTACATTACATTCAAGACATATTTGATGTATTTCATTGTGTAATTTGTGAATTGACATTCATATTTCAAACCCTTGAACAAGAATACTTTAATTGATTGTAAATTGTCCTAGTCACTCATTTCAGTACCTTACAAACAAATAACATTTTCAATAAAATCGTTAAACTTAAACTAAAGTGGTCTTGATTTGCTCTTTTTGCCATAAACTGAACATGTTTATTCTCTGACACTTTGTCTCAACAGAAAAAAGTGGAAGATGCTAAAGCCAGAGCAGCAAACTCTAGAGGAGGAGCTGGTGTACAGTGGATGGTTGTCATAGGAGTAGTCGTTACCGTCGGAGCATTTATCTGGTTTCGCGCGAGACGACGTTAACACCATGCTAGATCCTTAGAGTATTCAGATATATATTTCTACCATTCTACTTTATCACTCAACTTTGATTTCTTTTATGAATGTAAAAACAAAAACTTTGACTATAAAAGGAACGAAATAACAGAAAAAAAGAGAAAACTTTTGCTTTCCTTGCCACACACATCAAGTCATACATTTTTAGAGGCAGATAGGGTAAAAAAGAACAGAATTAGATCATTGTCATCCTATCTTACCATCCATTGTAGGTAAAAAAAACGTTGGATAGACCTGGATGAAAGTTTTTGGGGTAGACTGATACTGACATCAAATCAAAAGGCAAGTGGATGAAGTATAGAAATGGACACATGATGCTCATTGACTCATTTTGAAATTGCAAGACCAACTGGAATAGTACTTATAGTACTAATCAAAGGACATTAGTGGTGGAGTTTACATGGATGCATACTTTTCTTCTTTTTTGTTGATTAACGCTTTTTATTTTGTTTACTTGGAATGGCTTTACTTAGTGTAGCTTTTTCTTTCAGTAACTGTTGTACTCGAGAACACTTACTAGATGGGATGCTTTACAGCCAAGATGAAATTATCCTTGATTGTTGGTTCAGGGAAAGTACTCATATTTCCCTGTTAGATAGACTATGTTGATTATATAACCATGTCTTCGTTCTATTTAAAAGTCATGCTTATATCACTTACGGGAGATCTTGAAAATGATCTGAATGGTTAGGCTTACTTGGGACTTGATCACATGTGGTCTCATTAGTGTAGTATTAAATAATGAACCTCTGTTTTTGCCCTTGATTAACATGGTAAAAACAATTGTTAGCTAATATTTGTTTTGTTCATCCTCTGCTAGGGTTGTGATAATCAATGTTGAAGGCTGTAATAACAAAATTAAGATTCCCAAAAACAAACAAATGCGAAGTAGGATTAAAGTTTATTATTGAAAGAAAGTTGTATCTTCAAGAAGCTTTTACCATTTCTCCCTCAAGTGTTAACATACATTGGGGAAGCAATGATTAAAAAATAGGCAAACTTTTCTTTTTTTCAACCTCAACAAGAATTCTATGGCCTTATACTTCAATCAGTTGTACGGATGTACAATCACATTTTAGTCAGAAATCTTGTATGAAACGTAATGTCCTTGATTTATGTTTTAGTAGTTAAATGGAGGGACAAGAATTATGAAAAATTAAAAATACATGTATTTGCTTTTGTGTCCTTTCAATTTGTATGTATTTTTTTAAAAGCAAAGTTTTGATTAGTTGATAGGTAACTTTTGTTTAGCCTAACTTTTGTTTAGCCTGCTTTCAACTCAGGGATGTATTGGGTGTGTTGGTTTGAATTTGCTCCTGTAACTGCATGGGAATTTGATTTGCTTTGAGGTATTGAAATTTCATAATAGTCACCCATAGAAGCATGGGTCATGGTTTTTGCATATTTTGCCATTCCCACCCTTAAATAAATTTTTCCTTTACCAATTCTAGGCATGTATTTTTCTTTAAGAAAGTTTCTTAATTTATGTTTGTTCTGTAAATTTTAGTAGTAAAACAGTCTCCTATACCAAGTAGGACTTATCTCCAGTTTAGAAGTAGAAACTTTTTTTTCCATTTTTTTTCATAGTTTGATATTGTCCCCAAGTCTCCCGTTAAAATCACTTTGCATTTCTTAAACTTGATATCTGCTATTGCCCATAGATTATGACTTACATTTATACAGGAATAAATCTAAATAATAACATCCAGGAAAATTTCTGTTTATTCAGTATGAAGCTTTTCATTTTTAATCCATATGAAAAGAGAGGTAAGAAATTTGTTAAAGAAGTTACAAGTCCATAATTATCATTTGTGCTTAGTCTTTCATAGATATTTAATGCATAGTTAAAAAAAACATTCATGATGATGGACTTTCAATTCTTATTAGAAATTAGATCAACGTAAAGTACATGCATTTTACAACCTGTGTTAGGCCTTGAAAATTTCTTAGTAGTGTTCTGATTAGATTAACAAGTATATTTTTGAGAGCGCTGCACAGATCTGTAGCAAGGGTAAAAACTGAGAACATCGTTTTAAATTAATTTTGATCAGAAATTCCAGTGGACACATTTTGATGACCTTAAATATCTTGGGAATAGTATGATTAGGAGGTCAGTCATTGTCATTTTCCTTGAAATACCCTGTATAATTGCACAGTTGCACACAAAAAGAAGATAAGGATATTGGCAATGCATGTATGTCATTTCTATTCTAAAGGAAGTGTTCATTTTCCTGTTGACATTCCTGTCTTTGTGACATGAGTTCTCATCAGGATACTCAGAATCTCCTCCATTGAGTCGTGGGGTTAAAGGTCGCTTGTGGATAAACAAACTTCTACAAACATGCATGTAGTAGTTGAGATACCTACAGTGAAAGGTCATAAGCTCAAGAATAGCAATATTTTGTTTAATGATGTTACAGCCTGTGGTAATGACCGTGTTGTCTATAATCTTAACCCTTTGGATACTAAGACAGAGGTAAAAGGATGTGTCCCATCTCCTGTATGGAGTAATGGGGTTAAAGGTCATCTGTGGATGAACGAACATCTACATACATGCATGTAGAAGTTGAGACACCTGCAGTGAAAGGTCGTAAGCTCAAGAATAGCAATATTTTGTTTAATGATGTTACAGCCTGTGGTAATGACTGTGTTGTGTATAATCTTAACCCTCTGGATACTAAGACAGAGGTAACAGGATGTTATGAATACATACATACATGCTCTGCAGCTATTAATACACATATTTGTAGTTCAACATGCCGCTGGTACCTGAACTGGCTATGGTTCGCAATTGCACAATAGGTATACATCTAAATCTATATAAAAGCACAAATTTAACATTGAGGGGTCAGTGAAACAAAGACATATCGGTAACTTCATTTTGGCCATTTTGAGAAAAAGTGGTTTATGTGTCACTGAGCACTTGGGCCTTAAGGAGCCAAGTCTATGTTTCACTAGCCATTGACTTCATTAGGGTGTTAGGTGGAGTTAAGTCTTTGTTTTTCTGAACATGTTGATATCAAATACTAATTTTGGCAAAATATGGAGTTACGTTTTTGTGTCACCGAACCCTCAACATATATTTATAATAAAGCTAATCTTGGCACAAGCCTAAGAGTTTAAAAATAGCAATGAATTAATACACATCATTTTTAATTGTGCTACTCACAATGTAGTGTGAATTTAACCAATTGAAGTCCAAGAAAACTGGAGACGAACACCATGGGAAATGTGTTTTAAATTCATTATGATTATATCTAATGCTTTGAAATTATTGGTAAATATGTCTTTTCTTAGATTGTGATATTTCTAAGGATACAGAATAATAAACCATGAGGCAGGTGGGCTCTCAAAGACAGAATCCGATGAAGCAGCTTTGGCTTATACCAGATTAATATATCGATTGAATAAGGGTGATATTAGTTGGATGTGAATTAATTGTAAATAAGTCCATGACAATCACCAGTGTGCTTTATATCTGACTTTTCTGTATTAATGTAATTATGCCCTTACTAATGTATTTATGCCCTCTAATGTAATCAATGTCCTCTTTGCTTTATTCATTGTTGTATCTAACCCTCTGTGGAATGTAAGTCCCATAATGCTGACCAATCAGGGTGATGGATTCTGCCACACCTTTCTTTAGGTGAATTTTGATTGGCTGATTGTAAAGGACAAGACAGTGTTCGGTCAGATTGACATATATACTCTGGCGACATTTAGCTTTAGGCTTCATTTTGTCAAAGATATAGGATTAGGACTTGGATGTAATTAGGTTAAGTTTAGCAGTGTTTGATCTGGGGTTGAAGCTTAGAATTCGGCTAGTGTATTAAAGAAACTGGGAACTGGGCAGTTTTTGCCCACAGCATGTGTCGTGCAATCAACAACTGTTTATTTGTCATGATCTCATAGAAGGTGAAATCGATTTTGTGAATCAGTATTGCAAATTATATGGATGGTAAATCTCTGATATTGGTATGGTTTAGAAAATTAGGTATGTTCTGAACATTGAAAATCAAAGAAAGAGAGATTTTCTGTTTTGAAATGGCATTTCTGAATGTAATTATGGTATCTTACATGCTCTTCGATTTCCCCCTCTCTCTCTCTTTCTCTCTCTCCCTTCTCTTTATCTCTGTACACCATGAGCAGTTACCGAGTAGATGCCATTAAATAAGCATTCCATTTCAAATGGTTAGATTTGTGTGCTTCAAAGTGTATGGAATATACCTCAAAATGTTCTGGTCTTTGAACAGTTTTGTTAGAGGTACATGAGTGCATGTGCAAAAAGCCTAAAGTACATTGAAATAAAACTGCAATCCTCCCTAGAATTTATCTTCCCTGATGTACTTCAGTTTCATCAACAGACTGTCCTCTTCATGCACTTTGTCTACATTTTGAATATAACTATGTTGTTCAGATTTGATATGTATATATCTGACTTTCTTTCTACAACCTTTTTTTAATCAATTCCCTGTAATTGATAAATACCAACATTAAATGTAGTTAGCTGTCAGGGTTTATATTACATGTACTGTACATAATAAGCCTCTGTCAATATAGTATCTTCGAATCACCCTCATGATGTTATTAGGTGAACTATTAGCCAAAATGGGTGGTAACTGACGACAGGAAACCCTATCTATAAAGACTGCTTCGGGGAGAGGCAGGTGGTCTTTATGTACAGATTCCTTCAGTACATGTTTCAATGATAAACCATCTTCACAGGAAATGAAAAATATGGTGTTTATAGACTGGTGGTCTTTCTATACAAGTTCTATACAAGTTTGCTGGTATATTTACTGTTTTTCTGTTGAATTGAGCCCACAGTAGTGTTTAGTAGAACTAAATCACATTTTGTCACTGCCTTTTTCTTATTCGGACTCATCAAGTAAGTATTGGCTGCATACATGTATATGACAAAAAGGCAGTGTTTTTCACAGCAATATATATATATTATGTGTCTGGAAAGGATATATGCTTTAATCTTCACACTTTATTTCATGAGAATATTGAATGTGTATGATTTTTTTATATTCTCAAGATTAGATGGTAATTAGTTAGTTAGTATAGATCATTGTAATTTTGAAGGTTAGAACCATGTATAATGGACAATATACTTTGAAGAGATGTTACTCTCTAACTACAATGGTTCACACTTGGCTAAGGTCAAGGGGCGTGCTTTACCATTGAAGAATGTAATTTATACGCTATACTTTGTACCATAATGTACACAAAGTTGTAAACAATTATGTATCTTTGCATTAAAATGAGGAAAGGGAGGATTTGCAATTTAACCTTCACTTTGGGAAATCTTGATGCTTGCGTCCACGGATGGTGAAGGTTAGATGGCAAAAGTGATGCATGTTGATGGATGTATAATGGGAAATAGTGATATGCCGATGACATTATATCAAATGGAACTTGTGATTATTAAAAACTCGATTTTGATGTGCTAATCCAGATCCAACGTGCTCTGGTTTTGAAAAGCATGACTCATTGTGTCAGTGATTTGTATTTATTTGTGTGTCATAGTTTACAATATACAAAAGCTGCTAATGTGGCAATTCATATGTACATATACAAAAATATAATTGTTTTTATATCATGCATAAAAAATTTATTGGCTTTTTATTGGTTGAGAGCTCGTCACGTGAACAGAAATATTTGATCTATTCAAAGGTTGCTCTGAAAAAGTACTATATGAGAGTACTATGAGAGTACTAAGAGTAGAAATACTATTTGGGAGTTGAAAAAAATTGTGAATTTTTTTTGGAATTGATTTTTGTTTTCTTTTTCAATCTTAATTTAATGAAAACAAAAATTTTTAAATTTTTTGGATAAAAATTTGATTTTTTTTTTTAAATTCTAAATTTGATTTTTTTTCCCCAAAATAGGATTTTTTATATTTTATAAATAAACTTTTGATGCAGGATATAAAACAAATATACCATGCCTCTATTTGAGGTACTGGTTAAAAATATGGGCCTCTGTGACTCCAAAGGTGCCATTTGCTTCGGGCTGCACCCCTCAGCAAATAGTACTATTGGAGTCACCTCTCGCGCATAGTTTTAACCAGAATCTCTCAAGACAGTGTATATTTGTATACTATTTCGAGAAATTTGAGCAATGATGCGTGACATTCGAAGTAAATGGAATGTACTGTTTTCCCGTTGATATATTAATCGGTCCATATATTCCATTCTAGTACAAGATAGATATCTCGAAGGGGGATAAATCATGCCCCAGTAGGTTATTGATGATGATGGGGATGAGAATGATGGCACATTATTTTAGTTAACTGAAATTAATTGTGAAAATGTGAAATATAAAGGATCAAGATAATAACAAACGCGTTAGACTGCGCTGGTTTGTTTGTTGATTTTATTAAGAGATGGTAAAAACGCACTTTCAGCTCAAAAGGCCGTTTTCAGTATGTCCGTGTGTTTCGTATTACACAAATGAATTAGACAACATAATTTACCATACACTGTAAAAAATACAATACAAACATACTTCAAAACAAGGCATTAGATATAAATGAATGATTAACTATATAGAGTTTTACATATATATAGCAGACAAAAGAGAGATAGAGAGGCGACTATCTGTTCTGCACATGAAATGAAGATTAGTGTTAACAAAAGGAAGAAGGGTTAATAATCTTAATATTAATACAATCAGTATTCCATACATCAAACTGCTCATGCGGTGTATATTGTCACAGTATTATTTAATTTACTAATTGCAAGCGACATTGATTTTTTTCTTCTTTTTTTTTCATTCGACAAGCTTCCAACATACAACAATATACAATAATAACAGATCAAAAATAAGTCAGCTTGAACAGGATAACACACGAAAGCTCGAGAGCCTATTTCCAGTGGGGTCCCTTATCAAATTCTATTGAACTGACTTTAAAAATCGTCCCCATTTATACAAACCATCTCGTTGTCATTTTTATTCCAAACGGAAGCGACAGTAACTACAAATCATAAACAGATAAATGAAATAGATCATTAATGTGACGTAATAGACAATCAAGCTATCTTAAGATTACTTCTTTAGTTCTTTTCTTACTTAACTTTCGAATACTTTTATTATGACATCAATGGGACTACTCTTATTTACCTTCTTTTAGTAAATAATAACTTAAATTGTACAGAACTGCTTATCAAAGTCAACAATATTCCTATTTCTATTTTCTCTTTCTTTTTTTATTCCTTTTTTGTTTTAGTAATTTCAGATCATTGTTCATTACCCTTTTGAATACAATCGTCATGTTTGCAATTACATATTAATTATTATTCTTTGGTAACGTATGGAACATATCCCTTGAACTTGTCCGTTTTGTAATTATTATGATGACAGCGTGCTGAATGTTGGGTTAGTATACGCGGTGTTGGTTAGATCATGGGATGAGCTTAAAGGTGCCTTGTGATAATCCGAAGCGGTGTCTCCATTTTCTACATGTTCATGTTCTTTCATCTGAAAGAAAGATTAGAAAATGTTAAACAGAGAGGATGAATTCTTTCCTCCTGTCATTAACGTCAGAATCAGTTGCGCCTACTGGATAATTCGTGTAAAAAAAGTGTTGTTTTACCCTTTATCCTACTTACCACATGTAATTAAATTCTTAATTTGTTTGTAATTTCTTATGCAATTTCGATGGCGTTTTGTTCCGAGTCATGTCCTATGTTAAGAAAGCATAAATGCTTGTTAGTAAGCGACCAGAAGACCGACGGTTTTAGGTCCTGGCATTAGGTCCTCTCCGAAAGACCTGTTAAATGAGGATTAATGCCTTACCAAAGGGCATTAATAGCGCATCGCCTTGGTTTCGAACCCGGGTGGCCGGATTACGAGACCACTACTCTACCGACTGAGCTATCGAGCCTCCTCTCCTCTCACCCACGCACATAAGCTGTGTTATCTATATTTACTTTTTTTTTTGTGTGTGTGTCACCTACACCATTATTGAAATATTTGCATACTGGCCATGAAATTATTCTGATGTTCTCCATTTCTATTCATACCTCGAATTATAAATGGTTGGTCTTTGACGACCTTCTATTTCTCCCTTCCGCTACAAATTACGCGCAATTGTTACGTTTTTGTATTAATGTTTCTTTTATTGGATCTTACCTCGGATTTTTCTGACACTTCATATGCTGTCATCTCGGCAGAGCACCGTCTCACTGTATCGCAGACGGTAAGAGTGAAGATAATTATCCCAACACAAATCGATATCCACTGCATAGCTAGACCGATCTTGGCGGTCATAACGAAACCGGTATTGTAATCGTCGACAATCGTGTCGTCTGCCTCGACACCCTGCAGCCAAATTGAAAATGCAAAAATATTTCTTATTTATCGAACTGTTCAGAAAGTGTACTGAACGTCTGATATTCTGTACCTCCAGCTGTTATTTTATCATGATGTAATCAAGTCAATCTACAAAAACTGGTTAAAAGAAGATGATTTATCTATTATTGTTGCCCCGATATGCACATCATCATTTTTCACCATTGATGAGGGTTACAAAATGCTTCTTGCTCTCGAAGAGAATATAGTTCATTCCGGGAGTTCATTTCCATTTATATCCCATCCGCCCTATGCAATTTCCAACATTGCAAGACTTCTTTTCTAAATTAACACTATCAATGGCATTTATATAGTAGGGCGGCTAGGGCCTACAGGCCTTGGTGAAAAACAAATTACCTGTCTGCTGTCATTATTATCCTTCAAGCGATTGGAATGGTTTTCTCGATTCACGTTTTATATCGGCTTATTTATGGTACAGTTTACGCGATAGAAATACTCCGCAACGGTCGACAAAATGAAAGCAAAGAAAATATTATTCATTTGTTTATTAATTTATTTACTACTGGTGGGATGGGACACCCTCATCAGCACGAGTGCTGTTTTTCTAAGAACCAAATGTAAAGAACACTACGTAGATAGCGGGGCTGAGCATCATTTGGATTATTCGACAACTTGAACTGTGTGGGTTAATAGACCTAATATTCTTTTTTTAAGGGTTCATGGGCATTTAATATGAGCTCTATTTCCATTATGCCATTTTATAGCGAAATACATTTATTATACCGTGTGAGTCAAACAAAAGTTTACACTAAGAAAATTGTAATTTATTTTAAAAGTCAGCTATAAAGGAAAGGTTATCATACATGTTTTGAAAGAATGTTTTGAAAGTATTAAAGTGAGAGAATGAATTGAATGTATCAAAATAATGAGATGCATTGCATATGCTTTTTGCAGATTGAAGCAAAGTCACTCACATACACACACATACGCGCACAAAATGTCCTTTGATATTTGATATTTTATATTTGGTATGTGTGGCACGATTAATTTTGATAGGGATGTTATTTGGATCTGCAAAGACCGAATTAATACCCAAATCCCAATTTTTTTATTCAAACATCACTTAAGCCGTTCGGCGCAAGTAGATTTTTGCACTCTCTTAAACAATGTCTCCTGGTCATCCAAGCGTGAACACATACCACACAAAAATGGTACCAAATGGTTCGGGATAAAATCATTCTTTCATAAGATGTATAATAATTCACTGTTCATAGATGATTTTAAAAATAATTAGCAATTTTCTAGGTGGAAACTTCTTTTTGACTCACACTGTAGAAGATATAACTATCTGCATTTGACAAATGGATGATTTCCTACCTGATCAAACCACGCAATGGGAAGGGTAAACTCCCGGATGTTTTTCACCTCACTGTGTGCATATAATGAATATAGAAAATTAAACGTAGATAATAATGTGAATATTTTCCGATAACTGACCCCCGCGAAGATTAGCTTTGTAGAAGGCCGCGTCGCCGGTTGCGAAAACTCGCAACTCTGCAAACAAAAATTATAACACTCTAGACTCCACAAATGCATTTTCAACTAAATGATCCCATTTCAAAACAGCACACTTTTGATGAAATTTTTAAGACAATGATAAAGTCAACTAGTAATACTCACTCGAATAAATCATCTTGTGTAGTTTCCATGTTAATCTGGAGGCGGACGTTTAACACGTATGGCATACCCATTAACTAACAAAACAAAGGAAAACAACGGATACAAAAGAAAAATGAAAATAAAACATAAAAGTAAACAAAGTGAGTGGGTAGAAGAATTTCTTTGTTCATGTTGCAATCATTCAAAATGTTATTCAGGAAGAAAGCGATCGTTTAAAAGCAGATCATTTAAAACGATAGCTTGATCACAACCATCGGGCAAGCTTTATTACTGAGCTACATATTTTTTAAATTTTTATTATTATTTTTTTAGGGAACGATATAATGACAAATTGATGCATTATTATAGAAAATCATAATTTCTATTAACTCACTGGTTCAATATCCATGGTGTTCTCATGAATCTCTTTTACAGGATTCAGGCCCTCTACGGCGTTGATCAGTGAAGGGTCCCCCTCGTAGAAATGTGGGTTCGAGATACTTGTTGGACTACCTGCAGAAAAAGGAACAAAAAACGGTAGAACAAAATAATGTAATTTTAACCTCAATGGCTACGATCCATGTGCTAATAATGACGATGACAGCAATATTGTTTAGGTCGAAATATAGCCCCCCCCCCCCTTTAAAACAAATGAATAAGAAGTCACAACTGTATTGATCGCTTAAATTCATATGTATTGAAGAGCAAGTTCATACGTTTGAGATTGCTCTTTAAGTATTTCGTTACAAACAAAATTCCGTCGAATATGCCCCAAACGACTTTCACTTTATCTGAAGATGGGAAATCCCTCGATGTCAATTGACTGAAAATTTTCTCTCTGACAATTCTTCAACCGTATGTGAGGTAGGTTGTAGTAGGCTTGAAGTGCTATCTTAATGGCCTGTAACACATGGACAAATCACCCGAATACTTTGCATATATTAATTCACAATTTGGTATTATTTGATTAGGGTAGCCACTACAGCTCTCCGTGCGAGTTGTGCAATTATCATAACCCCGATATTGCCAGGCACGCATTTAAGAGACATGACTGTCGAAAAGGACATATTTTTTGTTTGCTGGACAAAATACGTTGTCTAATGATGTAAACAACGAGCAAGAATCAAACTCGAGACCTTCCGTATAAGAAAATTAATTCCCTGCACCAATATATCACAGTGATACCACTCTATTTTAAAAAGAACATGAAATAGCAGAGTCTATGGATGAATGTAATTTTGGTTTACCTGCCCGACATGGATCCTGCCTCATGATTCCCGATACACCGCACATCTCAGGCTTGCCCGAACAGTAGCCCGCATTGGGTGGCCAGTCTGTGGCGTTAGCCCACGTGTTGGTGGCAAGCTTGAACCTGAGCAGGGGAATACCCTTGTAATTGACGTCCTTCTCGTAATTGTAAGCTAGAGACCTGCATGTAAAGATATCAAAACAAAGTGCTTTAGAGTGACTGAAAGTTAGATCAGCATATTGATGATACAAAACACGACGCCTTATAGCGTAATGGTAAATCAAAGATCTACCTGTAACATGACGCCTTATATCGTAATGGTAAATCAAAGACCTACCTGTAACATGGCGCCTTATATCGTAATAGACCAGTTCACGGTTACCACATGTCCCAAATGACCCCGAATATACACAGATCTTCAAAACATGAAGAGGTCCCACTTTGTACATTTTGAAATAATCACTCCTACCGCGAAGGAGGTGATACATAAATAGCCCTTGTTTCCCCTTTCCAAAGATCCCCCACCTGTGTATCATGGAGTGCACTGAATGTGCATAAATGAATAATGATTACATAACTTTCATGAGCACGCATCCAGTATTTTGTCTCCGTGTATTTCAAAATTTGGGCTACAATGACCTTTATCTGCTCATGGTCAGACTGCAACTATGAACTGGCTTATTGTAAGTCGCATATCTACCTACAACATGGCGCCTTATGTCGTAATTGTAAATCACAAAACTGTATGATTGTTCAGAAAACAAAAGAAATATGGCGCCTAGATCGTAGTCATCGACCTTTATGTAGCCTACAAATTTCAAAACACAACGTCTTATCAGATGAAGGTTATCATTAAGTCACAAACAAATTTACAACACGTATCTTTGATTGCAATATAAGCCAGTTCACGGTTGCAGTCTGAGCATGAGCAGATAAAGGTCATTGCAGAACAAATTTTGAAACACACGGAGACGAAATACTTGATACGTGCTCATGAAAGTTATGTAATCATTATTTATTCGTGCACATTCAGTGCACTCCATGATACACAGGTGGAAGTATTCTTTGACAAATGTACAAAGTTGGACCTCTTTCTGTTTTGAAGATCTGTGGATATTTGGGGTCATTGCAGTAATGTGATAACCGTGAACTGGTCTATTGCAGTGAAATACTTGCATGTCCAGAAGAAGAAACAAAAACAACAACAAAAACAAAGATGTGAAATCAGGGGACGTCTGGTTCAGGCAAAAGATTGGAAAAAAGATATTCAAGAGGAATAAGAGGGGGAAAAAATGACGGTTTTCAATTCCGAAGCTCCGTGTTACTGCAATCAGGTTCATTCTAACAAAATACACCGACAAATTTACCGAAGTATTATGACACAGCAAAACAAAAAGAGGAAGTATAGTAAAATCAAATACATTTGGATGTGACACTTACCTACAGTATTCAGGGTTAAACATATCTAGTTGTTCTGTCCTCTCCACATAGGGGTGGAACATGGTTCCATCTGTATATAGAAAAATAGGGAAGTATATAATTATCATGCTTTCCTAGACGTGGGACTGCGAATTGTGCGGACCCTCAGGCGGCATGTGAGAGGGACTGACATGGTGTGAAGTGTAAGTGGAAATAAGACAATTCAAATTATGCATTTAAATACCCCCCGACGCGGGTTCATTACATTCAAATTAAGGATTATCACATTCAAAATGACACCTCATATGCCATGTACGGGCAATAGCAAGAGCTGATGCCGAGGGACACACATACCTGACAATAAATCTATAATTTTGATGGGAAAACACACATACACATACACAAGTACACAATAATGCACGCACCCACCCTCACGCACACACAGTGGTGCCATAATTATCTTGCAAAAGCAGGGCATACACATTAATGTGAAGTTGATTTTGCTTTTAAGTTGATTTGGGTCAAGAGCATACCGTTATTTCGTCTCCTTGTAAATTCAAATCCCAAGTTTATATGCAAATTTCGCACTTACATCACTGTCTGATTTTTGATGAGGTAATACGGTATATACGGGGTAATATAAAAAGCGCTTTGATAGGGCCTTCGGTCCGGAAAAGCGCTATATAAGAACTAGCTATAATTATTATTATTATCAGGGATGTAATCATGAGCACTTCAACAATTATTACGTCAATAAAGGAAATCATTAGTAAAGATTGAACCTCTTGGACTCAATTGCACTTCTTTTTGTCCAGTATTAGGCCTATACAAACAAACAATCGAACTACGAACTCGAACTTCGGAAAATTATAATTACTTTTTCCTCTCCATGTAAATTAAAATCCCTAACTTATATGCACAATTTGCACTTACATCATAGTCGGGTTTTTGATGAAATAATAAGCTATATCAGGGATATGATCAGGAAACACTTCCAACAATTATTAGGTCAATATAGGAAATCATCAGTAGAGATTTAATATATAGGACTCAATGGCACTTGTTTGTGTCCAGCAGGCCATTTATTATAAACAAGCAATCGAACTACGAACTCGAACTTCGGGAAATTATGATCACTTTTTCCTCTCCTTGTAAAGTAAAACCCCTAAGTTATATGCAATTTTTGCACTTACATCACTCTCTGATTTTTGATGAAATATTAAGGTATATCAGGCAAATGCTCAAGGAACACTTACAAAATTATTAGGCGGTATTGGAAATTATCACTAGAGATTAAACCTCTTAGGCCGAAGTGAACTTCTTTCAATCCAGTATATACAAACAAGCCCTCGATCTACAAACTTGAATTTCGGGAAATTATAACTACTTCTTCCTCTCTTTGTAAAGTTAAATCCCATACTTATATGCAATTTTTGCACTTACATCACTGTCTGATTTTTGATGAAGTACTACCGTTTATCAGAGATATGATCAGGAAACACTTCAAAATTATAAGGTCAATAAAAGAAATCATCAGTAGAAATTTAATAAATTGGACTCAATTGCACTTCTTTTTGTCCGGTATTAGGCCTATACAAACAAACTATCAAACTACGAAGTCGAACTTTGGGAAATTATGATTACTTCTTCCTCTCTTTGTAAAGTAAAATCCTTAAAGTTACTTTATAACAGTCTAGTGTTGCCACGATTAGATTACTGCTCTGTTGTATGGTCGAACTGATTTCATTCTCATACAACTAAGCTGCAAAAAATTCAAAAGAGGGCCGCAAGAATAATATTGAACAAGACATATGACACACCGTCGGCTGATTTGTTCACAAGTCTTAAATGGATGACACTAGACAAGCGGTTTGAGTTAAGTCGCGTTATGATGATATATAAATGCGTTCATAACTTAGCACCTTCTTACCTTCAGGTAGGCTTAATCAATCCTAATGATGTACATGAGCATCATACAAGGCAAATAGACAGTGGATGTTTACGTGTGCCTAGATTTCACACTGATTGTTATAAGTGTAGCCCAATTGTTTCTTCCATATTTGAATGGAATAAGCTAGATAATTCATTGAGAACGGCTTCCTCTGTCAATTCATTTAAGAGATTGTTTAAACAAAGTTGTAATTTGTGAATGGCTCAGCCGTACATACACTACGTGCATGTTCTGTAATATTTACATGACTTATTCACATAATTGCGACTTAATTAATATTTTCCTATTGACATTACTGTTTACTAGGTTAATGATTATATTTATTTTGCAAACGAGTTTTATTTTTGTAACTGTTCTGTATAAATGTTATAAACGATGTAAATATGTTCATTCAGGGCCCCATGGAAGACCACCACTTGTTGGTGAATGGGCTACCCTGTCAAAATATTAGAAATAAAAATCCCCAACTTAATGCAATTTTTGCACTTACATCACTGTATGATTTTTGATGAAGTTATACCGTTTATCAAGGATGTTATCAGGAAACACTTCAAAAATGATTAGGTCAATACAGGAAATCATCAGTAGAGATTGAACCTCTTGGACTCAAGTGAATATTTGCTGTCAAGTAGGCCTCTACAAACAAACCATTGGTCTAAGAACTTGAACTTCGGGAAATTATGATGATATGGAAATTTTTTGTAAAATACAAAAATATTGAATCAACCAAATAACTACGTTGATAGGGATGATAGGATGCTAGGAGTAGTATTAGTAGTATAGTAGTGGTAATAATAGTAGTAGAAGTAGTAGTACTGGGAGTAAAAGTAGTAGTAGTAATCGGAGTAGTAGGGATAGTGGTAAGTAGTAGTAGTAGTAGTAGTAGTAGTAGTAGTAGTAGTAGCAGCAGCAGCAGTAGTAGTAGTAGTAGTAGTAGTAGTAGTAGTAGTAGTACTAGTAGTAGCAGCGGTGGTAGTAGTAGTAGTAGTAGTAGGAGTAGTAGTAGTAGTAGTGGGTAGTAGTAGTAGTAGTAGTAGTAGTAATAGTAGAAAAAACAATAGCAGCAGCAGCATAAGTAGTAGTAGCATAGTAGCGGTCTTTTAATATAAGAAGATAAAAATGACAACATTGATATACCTGTTCCCTTGATTGTGTTGGCTTCTTCGGACCACCACCAGTCCATTTTCGGTTCGCCCCAGTAGTTGTCTATGGTGTTTATGAGTTTCTGGTCAGCGACTCCATCAAAAATATTGTACTGGTAGAGAAAAGTCGCGTTGTACTGAAATGCAAAGATTTGTTTCATTTAAGAAATTACTCACAAATTAATGGACAGGTATTACAAATATATTTAAAGCCCCACTGCACTACTTATAGCTACTTGCGCCCTCTATATAGCAAACGATGCCTAATCGGTGACCATTTGTCCCCCATGATCCTCTTTTTCTTATGTTAATGAGAGCTTATTTGATGAGATAACCACCTGTCAGTGACCATGCAGGGAGGTCTAATCCCTCCTGGCCAAACTAGTAAAGTGGGGCTTTAAGCATACATTCAATAACAATCAAGTGGAGATCCATATACCCTTGAAACTTAATGCTATAGATAACAAATCCTTCCGAATAAATAATCCCAAATATGGGATGATGGTTGTCTATATTCTGACTATCCTCAAGGTTGCACCCCTGAACGCAATGCCTCCACGTATTTAAATATTCTACAGTTTACAACTAAATCATTCATTCCCCTTGTAAATTTGACGTTTTTTAAATATTTTTCGTAACTCAAGAATGAAAGGTTGACTGGTTAAATTAGGGCCGTTGTTGAATAGAATTAGATGTAAGCTTTAAATAAATATGTCACATTATCAAGAAACATAATTCGGGAAAAATCAATTTTTCACAAACTTCAAAAATTAAAAAACTTAGTAAGGATAAGAGCCCTCTCTGGTAGAACGGTATTCAAGCTACCCTGGTAAACAAACACGAATATAATAATAATAATTAATTATTATTATTATCATCATGACTGTATATCAAATGCATTACCGGCGACAGAAAACCTGGCCTCATTCTTTCCTCTCTGTCATCGTTATCCTGAACCAGGAACTCGCCATTTTCTCTGTAGCGCTCGAAGGGTGTCAGTCGGGCTTTCTTGTAACCCCACATCACCTCTCCAATGGTCAGGTTCAGGGTAAGCTCCTCCCTGATGAGATTGAGAAAAGCATTCATCTCGCTCTTCGTCTCGTCCGTTTCATTCCGAGCGGCGTACACAGAAGACTGATAGGGATGTGAAAAGACCATGAAATATAATAGACCAGTAGCCTAAATTTATTTTTCCAATATATCGCTTATAAACATATTTTAAGCGATAGCTTTAAAAAATTTTCGTTAAGCAGTCAATCAAAATGATGATGATGATTGGATAATTATGATAATGATAATGGTAATGATAATAAAATTATTAATGATAAAAATAAAAAAATACTAGTACTACTACTACTACTATACTACTACTACTACTACTACTACTACTACTACTACTACTAAACAACCGTTCTTGTATTTTCCGGATTCATATAAAATTATACTTCTACCCAGATTTTGAATGAAATTAGTGGTCAAGCCTAGATAGCCCCCTTAAAAGTAAACTGCTAAACTACATCCATCCCAAACTTGGACTAAGGCGACTTTGACACAGTTTAAACAAAATGGTCAATCATCCGTGATTGCATTTTGATGAGCATCCTATCAAATCAAGGAAGATTTTTCCAACCACCATACTATCTACAACATATTATAGCAATTTTAATTGGTTTTTAAGATATTTGGGCTTGAATACATGCAGTTTTCATATTTATTGACTTGCTCTTGATATATTATCAGTATTCTTACTATCAGAGCTAGATTTGGGGTGATGACGCGATCTGTTTCTGGGCCAACCGATTGCTCAGGCTCGAAGAAGTAGATATACCGTGTCACGTATGACAGCGTTCCGTTGTCATGAAATGTCAGGTTGTCCCTGTCCACGTAAATCCTATATAAATAAAGAAAAAGGGTGAGAAACAGAAAATTTAGAAAAAGAGAGAGAGAGAGAGAGAGAGAGAGAGAGAGAGAGAGAGAGAGACGAAGAGAGGGAGAAGAGAGAAAGAGGAGGAGACAGAAAGGCATATAATAGAGGAAGAGGGAAAGATAAATAGATAGAGATAGAGAGTGTGAGAGAGAGAGATGGAGAGAGAGAGAGAAAGAGCGAGAAATAGTGAGAGAGGGGTGGGAGAGGGAGAGATGGGAGGGGAAAGGGGTGAGGTGGTTGGGGGTAAACAAAATAATCGAAGATGTTACAAATACCTAATAAAACATCCGAAATAAATGCGATAACAGACGACATGACACTTCGTGCAAGTAGCAAATGCCTATACAGTGTGAGTCCAAAAAAAAGTTTTCACCTAGAAAAATGCTAATTATTTTAAAAATCATGTACGAACAGTACATTATTATACATCTTATGAAAGAGTGTTTTATCCCAAATCATATGGTATCATTTTGTGTGGTATGTGTTGACGCTTGGATGAACAGGAAGCATTGTTTGCGAGAGTGCAAAAATCGACTTGCGCCAAAGTTTCTTATGTGATGTTTGAATAAAACAATTGTTAATTGGTATTAATTGATTATGAATGGGCTAATCATGAATGGTGGTGGTTACTTTACCTGACTGCTAAGAAAGCATAAATGCTTGTAAGTAAGCAACCAGACGGCCGACGGCTTTAGGTCCTCTCCGAGGGACCTGGTAATGAGGATTAATGCCTTACCCAAGGGCACTAGCGCATCGCCTTGGTTTCGAACCTGGGTCACCGGATTGATTACGAGACCACTGCTCTACCGACTGAGCTATCGCGCCTGGTCTTTGCAGATCCAATTAACATCCCTAACAAAATTAATCATGCCACAACTATCGAATATCAACGAACATTTGTGAGCGTGTCTGGGTGTGTGTGTTACTTTGCTTCTGCAAAAAGCATATGCAATGCATTTCATTTGATACATTCAATTTATTTTCACAATACAGTTTCGTCCTGAAAACTGACCAAACTGTTTTTTTTTTCATTGACTTCAAGTACAACTTTCCGATAAAGAATATTGTTTTTCTGTTTGATCAACATCGGTACAAATTCTTCAATATGATTGCATCACTATAAAGCTCTCAAAAGAAGCATCGTTATATTCTTGCGTATATTCTCCGACTAACAACAGTTACATTTCTTTTTAAATCGAATGTCTGTTTGTCTGTCTTATCTTACTTCAATGAAATAATATTTTCTCTTCCTTTCAAACACATGATTGTACTATTTATTTTTTCTTCCTTTTTTGAGGAAAATCTTTTTTAAATGTACTTTTTCCTAGTATTAAAAAATATTCTATCATAGATATTACATTGCTTAAATAAATAACAGATTTTGAAGAGGCGAGATTTACCTTTGAATTACGATGCTCTTAATACACTTGACATAAATTAATGCACCTTTTTGATTTTGTGATAAACAATCATCTTCAAAATTACTTTACAATTTTCTTTTCTTCAAAAATATGTATTTCTGCTTCTGTAGCAAATGTACCGATTAGTAGTTATTTTACATGTGCATACAGAAAATTAATATTAAACAAATTATTGAATGCTTGGAAACAATACACTAGCAACTTTGTTGTCACATTATCTGGTATGAACAGATAAATGTATAACAATAATTATAAACAGGATAAACATAGCTTGTAATTTATACATAAAGAATAATGTACGTTGTGTAGTAACATAATGTTACATGAAAAAATAAGTAAAATAAAATAGATGGTTACATAATTTGTAATACTACATAACAAAACGAATACCTGCAAAAGAAATGATTGCATATTCTGTAATGTTATGTAACAGAAAAAATGAATGAAGGAACAATATCAATTAATAATGTTAATTCCAATTTTTAAAAACATTACTTTATTTACTTTGAAAACATTATAATTTATCAAATACTTACTTGTAAACGTAAGGCCCCTTATCTTTGACGATAAGCTTTTCTCCGTTCTTAAATGCTTCGGGATTCTGAATATCGAGGAGATAGTAGGAGAGGAACGATGGCAATGTCGGATGCGCCCATTCTTGATAGATCAATGAACTCTCTTCCAGGACCATCATCTGATGAAAAGAAATTCATACAAAATGATGATTAATAGAAACGAAGAAAATTGTTAATGATATGAAGGATGACGCCCTATGGTCTATGGATCTATACTGTAGGCAGTGGCAAAGGAACAGACAATGAAAAAACTAAAAATGAACAGATCGTCTGTTGAGGGGCCGGAAGGCTCTAAACAGTCTTCAATAACCGAACAGAGGTGAATTTGCCTAATGTATATAACTCATTACGTAAGGATGGTTGCTTTTCATTTTTTGTTCTTTACAAAATAGCCCAGGGGGCTCAGTCAAATATAAATACTGTAAGCAAACTAGACCAAGAAAACGCGTATAAAGTGTACTTTCTTCTAAAGGTTGGACGCGGTTAAAGAACTATGTCCCTTTTGCAGCCAACCTCAAATTCTGTAGAACTTTGCAGCAATTATGAATATGTCATGTATGTCCTATCTGTGAAATTTAAACGTTAGCAGTGTCCTAATATTCAAACTATGCAAGGAAACCCGTTTACTTGTTAGACTTCAGTGTCAGACACTATTGGGTGACTGACTGGCTTTTTTCTTCTTTGGTAATAACATATATAAAATGAGCTGTAAAGGGTGCATGAGCATTTTGTCTACATCAATAACCCACTTCTTTTGATGACCAAAATTAAACTGATTGAATCTTTGCGCAGCATGAAACGTACCATTCGGTACAATGGTCTGAAAATCGAGACTATTACTTATTGGCTCTATAGCTCCTAAGTCGATTTGACAACTAATAGTCGTTATTTTCCCACTTGAATACATTTTCAAGTCCCACCTTTTTTAGGGAAGTTCTAAATTAGTATTATCTTTCAAATGTCGTTGGAAATTAACCTTTTCATTTGTTTGGCCTGCAAATGGGACATAGTACCTTTAAGGGTAAAAAAAAATGTCCATTTTCAACACCCTGCTGTACGCGTTTAGGGGTATTTTCCTAGATTCCAATCGCACTTCAAAATCCTCAGGGGGTTACACTTTTTACAATACTTGTTTAGGGAGTACAATTTCATGAGATACCCATTTAAGGGTGTGACTTTGGGAAACACCACACGAAATCCTCATTTTATAGGATGTATTTTGGCTTCAGAAGAAATCCTCGTTTAGGAGGTATCTGGAAAACCTGTGGTGACGCATGACTGAGACCCCTGGGCAAAATAGTCTCCTTCATATTTTGATAACTAGGTTCTGAAAGTCTCCCCTTTCTCGCTCTCACTACCCACCTTATTGTCACCAGAGTTTACTTTTCCTTCTAGGAACATTCATCTCTATATGGTTTTAAATCTCTATCAGGCTTGTTGGGCTATACATACTCCGACATTGTCGCAATAAACGTGTAGGTATTAATTCTCAAATTTCTGTTGTAAGACTGTTCCAAAGGTACCTTGTGTGGGTAATTCTTACTAATGACCTCAATGTTGTGTATTATATGTGTATTAATGACCGGTCATTAGTAAAATCATGTTAAAAAAAACAAAACAAAACAAAACAAATACAACGTGATCTTATAAAACAAATAATACACACCATTTTGTTCGGGCATTGGTAAAATTACCCACACTCGGTACCTTTAAAACAGTCCAAACACCCTCGGTTATTACCTCGGGCGTTTTAGAGTGCGGTTAATTCTTAGAAATGCCCTCACTACTGTGTATCATTTTGTATACTACTTACCGAATCGATGATTATTCTGTACATCTTATCCATGAAAAGTGGCGTCAAGGATCCTGAAACAATTAGACCGATGGAAAATATAATCAGTATTCCGTAGCAAACCTTCCGTGAAGAAGAGAATTCGGCCTTCCCCATCTTGGATCGTTTATTTCAAACGTTACTAGCTCAGGTACCTGTCTTGTAGCAGAATAATTCATGGATTCGGAAAAAAATTTGATTTGATAACAATTTGTTAAGTGGCCTATTCAGCGAGAGAGAGAGCAGGTCTATGTATAATACTAATATCCTCAGAAAGGACTTTACCATTACCCAAAGTTGGCCTTTTGGTAATGATAAGATTTGACCTTACGATCTTTATATAAACATGCATATCTATCTTCGATCTTTCTTCTCAATTATACGTATCATCTGACCTACCATCCTCGTGTTACCCAACGCATCCAATAGGCACTGCGCATGCGTCACGTCGTCTCAGTCGGCGATCGAGAATGTGTCAACCTTGATTTTCCTTAATCTAGTACGGTACTAGTATATGCCGCGTGCGCATAAAATATACAGTTCCTCAGGTAGACAAAGGAACATCCATTCCCTGCTATTATGTAAAAATTTGTAGAACAGGTGTCACATGCATATTCACCTGTTCTACACATTTTTACATAATAGCAGTGGAGGGATGTTCTATCATGTAGCAATAGGCCATTTTCGTAATGTAACCGAATTTAATGCATAGGTCTTTGTGAAGTGCCTCAATACAAACTATTTCATTCACCTGATAAGAATAAAAGTATTTCAATAGACAGAATCCTCACTGCATACATAAGTTGTTGCCAGGTTGGACAAAAATTATGGCTTGACCTACCTAGCAACACTTAATATATGCAGTTGCATTATTACTATAGAACTACTATTATTCCTATCAGGTGAATGAAATAATTTGTTTTGAGGCACTTCACAAAGACCTATATGCATTAAATTCGGTTATATTACGAAAATGGCCTTTTGTTGAGGGTAGAAAGAGGAACTGTATATTTTGTCCTCTTTCTTTGTCTGTCATGTTCATAATGTTACTTCCTGCATACATGTATATCGTCGAGGGCAATCTAAAAGATTTCTAATTGTAGTCAACATGGGCAGTTCAGTGCGTTGACACGCATGATCAGTCGGCGTTCGTCGTGTTCTCATCCACTCAATCTAAAAGTCCCTATTATCGTGACGAGGTAATCAAAACAAATGTCATGCATGTGGGATACCTTTCCCCTACATTTAGATTTCAGAAATAAGGTAATCACTTTGATGGAATCAGGTCATATAAGGGGTGATCTCTTTAGGCTGCGTGCAGGGGCGTCTCCAAAGGGGGGGGGGGGGGGGGGTGCGACCGGGGCGTCGCTAGACCTTTTTCAGTGGGGGGGGGGGGGGGGGGGGGGAGGGGCGTGAAGAGGCCAACGATTACCGACAAAACTAGCCACCAATTACCGACAAAATCAAATGTCCCAATATCTACAAATTTAACCCTATAAAAACCCGGGGCCGAAGGCTAAATTGTTTTTCCTATGAACTCTATAGTATACTTGCAATTTTGTTAATTTTCCTCGACGACACAAAAATACGAATTATTTCGTCAACTTAGTCAGCATATATATTTTAATGCAGGCGCGTAGCTATAGGATCTTATTTTAGAAAAGGGGGTGGGTGAAAGGCCTCCCGCGCTAAGCGCGGAAGCTTAGACGTTTCATTAAATTATTGGAGAAAGTAGACGATTTGTTGTACCGTTCTCTACTCTTCCTTGTATGAATGCAGTTTCCCCTCTCCCGCGCAAAGCGCGGTAGTTTTGACGTTTCATTAAATTATTGTAGAAAGAAGACGGTTTGTTGTACCGTTCTCAACTCTTAACCCTAATTATCTGAATTTAGTTTCTGCCCCTCCCGCGCGAATCGCGCGGAAGCTTTGACGTTTCATTGAATTATTATAGAAAGAAGACGATTCGTTGTACCGTTCTCTACTCTTTAATAACCCTAATTGTTTGAATTCAGTTTATCCCCCTCCCGCGTATTACCGTGATATGCTTTGTATTGGATATCATTATGTTTCAATTCATACCTGTGTATCGAGCATAATTATGTAACCTTGCTTTTAGGTTTTAAAACAAATATTGTAATTCAATTAGTGCAAAATTATGTCCTGAAGTATGTTAAACTTTAACTTATGTGTATTTTACTTTCTTTCTTTATTGAATCACTGGATGGTCGTATGCCCACAATTTTTTCACACAACTGCGCCAGGAGTGTCATTTTTGACAGACATGGCGCATTATAAATGTTCACTATTATAATTATTATTATTATTATGTATTTCAATAAATCAATAAGTGGCAAATATTGTTCTTTTCAGTTTAATGCTTTGTGGTTCTTAACACCCTTTAAATGACTTGACATGGAGTTCCGTTTATGAGGACCTTGATATTTAATTGATTTATTTTGCAAAAATGAGTTAGTGAATGTTGGTAGATGCCCGGGGGCCTCAGTCAAATGTAAATACTGTAAGCATGCGTGACCAAGAAAACGTGTATAAAGGGGCGTTTTTTTATAGATTGGACGCGGTCCGCGCGTTGACGCAATGAGGAGTTCAAAAACGTCCATTTTGGGCCATTTAATGGTACAAAATCCTACTTTGCGCGCCGATATACGCGTTTAGGGGTATTTTTCTAGCCCTCAGGGCCAGACCTACCAAGTCTCACGCCTATATAGCTGGTCCGTAATACTTTGTTTTGCATAGTTAAATAGTTAAATAGTAACTGTTCATTGTACATTGTGTACTTTTTGTAAAAATTACATGCACTTGAAATTTGAAATGTAATTCTTTTTTATTTAAAGAAAGGACTTAATATCGTCCTTGTTTTCACGAAGTGACGGTAGTGAGAAAAATCGTAACGCAAAGTGAATGCAATTTTTTTTCACTACCGTCACTTCGTGAAAACAGCGACGTTATGATGGCTGTGCATTAAACCCATTTTGAAGTGAACAGATTGATGTTATTCCGCTCTATTAAAATAAATTGTTAAAATGTGAATTTTTACATCAGAAGCGCAATTTGATTTATTTACATTTTAAATGGTAATCCCTATCGCACTTCAAAATGCTCAAGGGTTACAATTTTACAATACTTGTTTAGAGTACATTTTTGTGTGAAATACCCGTTTAAGGTGTGAATTCGGGAAAAAAACACACACGAAATCCTTATTTAGGGTGTATTTTGGCTTCAGAAGAAATCCTCGTTTAGGGGGTGTCTGGAAAACATGTGGTCACGCATGCTTACAGTATGTTTACATGAATGAGGTCCCCGGAGGTAGATAAAAGTCATCTTTTTTATTGTATTAAATGAGTGGACATCAGAGTTCAAACGAAAACTGTTATACAACTAGTGTTGTCAAAATCACCTTGTTCCAAGTTTGAGGCAGGCCATAGAAATGTTCTTTTCAACTGCCTTATAGTCAATGTATTAAGTTAATGAGCGATTGTTTTTGGAAAGAGGCACATAATGGCTTTTGACCTACATTTATTGATTCAGCTACGACTTTGTACAAGAGGGTTTTGACAATAGTTTTTTTGAAAAGCCTGCTGTTCAGTCATTATAACATAAGTTATAACGTTTTAATTAGAAACTACCAGAGAGATTTTTAATAGGGGGAATTAATAGTGGTGAAAAGGGGGCATTTATGAGAAGGGGAAGGGGCTCTAAATAAAAGTGAAAATGAGCAAAGGAAAAGGGGAACGTGTCATAATCAAAAGGACACTTTTCAGAGGTGAAAAGGTGCATTTGTCAGAGTAAAAGGGTCACCTCTTAGATCTGGACAGGGGTCATTATCAGAGGTGGTAAGGGGCACCTACTAGAAAGAAAAGGGGGCACTTATCTGAAGTAAAAGGGGGCACATTCCAGATACTCACAAAAAAAGTGGGAGCAGTGTGCCCGCTGCCTCTGATTCAAACTCTGAGGACCATTTTTTCTCTCATGGTGGTGAAAGTCACACCCACGCACAACCCTGGTGAATTTGTAATGAATTATCCATTTTCATTAATTTCACTTGATAATAGATATACATATGCACACTAAATATCACAAAGAAAAACATTGTTTACAAATTGTCATTTGTAGTAAGCAGAAGCAATGAGTAGAATGTTACTCTGCTTATCTCACATTTGATCCGAACTGCTGCTATAGTACAACACACAGCAGGAATAATCTGAAATAACCATTGCGGTATCGTTCACTCATTTCCCATGCTTACCACTATATTTATTTCCATACAAGAAGCCCACATCCATAACTTGCATTGCATGCATAATAATCATGTTATAAAACCACATTCATTTTACTCATTAACATCATCTGGAAAAGGTAATTAACCATTTGATGGCAAATAAACTGTCACCGCAGACGCACAAATAAACATTACCTGTGTTATCAATATCAGCACAATATCAAATTTTTATTTTCATACAAGAAGCCCACATCCATAACTTGCATTGCATGCATAATAATCATGTTATAAAACCACATTCATTTTACTCATTAACATCATCTGGAAAAGGTAATTAACCATTTGATGGCAAATAAACTGTCACCGCAAACGCACAAATAAACATTACCTGTGTTATCAATATCAGCACAATATCAAATTTTTAAAAATTGTATGAAGTTTTGACTCTCAATAAAAACTCTTCAAGGAATGATAATTTGAGTTCAGAGTGATTGAAGGCATTCAGTGTTATTATCATTATCAGCAATATCAGGAAAACTCCCCAAGGAACGAAGCCTGTGCACTTTCAATGATCATGGTCACAGAATTTACAATGTAAAGCGCTTAGAAAAGTAGTACAAATGTGATTCGTGTCATAATTATTCATATCAAAATTATGCATATTCTAAGATAGCTTTAAAGCGAAATGTAGTGGCACAAAAGAATGCTTCTGAAACGCAAAATGCACAATTTGTTAAATCATGATTTGACAAAAGCACCACATTGGTAGAATATGCAGCTGGTAAATATATGTACAACCAAATCTTTGGTACAACCTTTATCAGGCTTAATATATAATAACCTTAAATGTTATTCAGATATGATAAATAAGAGCTTTTAATTCATTGACATCACCAATTATGACCACCTTTCTGTTCCGGTAACATCTTTTTGTGCCACTATACATTTTGCTAAGCTAACTTAGGTTGTGGACCCTGTTACATAAAACTTGTTATCAATAGCAGCTGCCAAAGATCTGTGAAATATCTGCTCACAGCCAATCAAATGCAAGGATTTCAGTAGCTTATAACAATTATCACAACATGTTATTGATGACAAGTTTAATGAAACAGGGCCCTGCAGTTTGACCCTATCATAAATAAATTTCTATAGAGTACCGAAGCTGTGACGTCATAAAAATCTATTTTAATAATTTCTCAATTTTTTCTTCATTTTCTGAAAGAGCATCAAAAATAATGTCCAAATGTCGAAAACCAATTGAATATGTTAAGTATTGGCTGAGATATGACCATCTGAATACAAAGATTGTCTATGGGAACTCAGTGTTTTATGCTCTGGTTCCTAACCATTAGGAGCCAGAGCATATAACAATGAGTTCCTATAGGAAATATATTCATTCAGATGTTCATATCTCAGCCAATACTTAACATATTCAATTGGTTTTCGACATTTGGACATTATTTTTAATGCTTTTACGGAAAATGAAGAAAAAATTGAGAAATTCTAAAAATAGGTTTTTGATGACGTCACACTTCACCGCTCTATACCACTTCTCCAATGAATTTTAAGAAAGGTATCATGCTTCCTTAGCTAAACTACCTACATGTACAGTTCAATGCTTGTCCATATTTTTTATATTGACCTGTTACTAGTGCATGTATATATATGCAAGACTAACTGCCTAAGATATAAACCTCAATATAGAATATTGGTCATATAGCTGATCATATAGTTGATCACATACATTCTTTTATGCAAGTAGCAGAAATAATATACAACAAAAAAAGGAGAAATATACACATGAAATTGAGACTACCTCTTAGGTAAAAGTTTGCGTAGACACGGATTTGAATAATAAAATCTGGCAGGTTTCTTTTTTTCTAACCTAACATGGTTATTCTTAAAGTACCTACCCTCATATGCAATGATTTGGTGAATAAAATGAGGAGGTGCTCATAAAGACGTATTGTCAAAGCATCCATACAAGGGCAACAAGCTCTCTTTCCACAAACAACAAACAAAACTCACAGCTTTTTTGTTTGCTAGTTACTGGAAGTTTCGGGTGAGGAAACTTCTTCTGTGGTGATATTGAGCCCTTGCCTCTCTTTTGTGGAGAACATCATGTAGGAAAAAGAATAATGCCCAAACAGTAGAAACTTAATTTACACACCCTCTGTCTCCCTCACTCATTTAAATTTTCATTGCAGATAAATTACAGCTTATATGAATACCAGGCTCATCGGCAAATCACTTATATTTTCATTTTTTAAGTTAACATACCGTAAATAAAAAACATAAATATAAACAAAAATTTAAATGCATGGCAAAACAGAGATACAAAATAAAATCGGAACGAATGCATGACCATGACACTGTAACTTCAACATTGTCATAAGATGTGAATATTACAGAGCATTAAGGAGAACAAAATGTTTTGAATGCATTTCCTAGTGTGTCTAGGAAAAAAATCTTACAAGAATTATGCAAGAGTACTACAAAATATTTGCACCTTAAACCCCTACAAACAATATTCCAGTATTTTACCCTGGTTTGTGGAAATGAAAGGATAAGTCTGAGATACAAATCTAACTATGTGTCATAGGTAAGAGAGTTTACTGAAATTGAAAAACAAACAAACATAATTAACATTGACTATTTGATTAGTTACAATGTAAACAAAATCAAGTTCCATGTAAACACAATTTGTTATGTATTGGACAACATCTATATTCGTCTCTGAATGGAATTAAACAACTGCTAAAGAAGGTAAGAGAGTTTACTGAAAAAAAAAAAAGAAATATATAATTAACATTGACTAGTTGATTAGTTACAATGTATACAAAATCAAGTAAAATAATACTTTTCATGTAAACACGCTTTGTTATGTATTGGACAAGATCTATATTCATCTCTGAATGGAATTAAACAACTCCTAAAGAAGCATAGGACTACAAGTTGATAAGGTGAGAATAATTTTCAAATTAATTCAAAATTTCAATCTGGCTATGCATTTTCCAACCAAAACATTTAATTCTTTTGAATATCAAAAATGTATTGCTATTCATGTATTGTATAAGTTTAATATATCATTTTATTGCAAATATGGTAATACAATTCAAATTTCTGTATATGTACCAAGCAATTTGCCAAGGTCGTTGAAGCATAATTATATATCATTTGTACAAAAGAATTCCAATTTTACTACCATAATGCTACCATGCATAATGTTTTACGTGTAATTTTACTTTGTCACTGATGTATACCTTGTAAAAGAAACTGCAATTCGGCTCTCGGGCCGCAAATGTTTTTTAATGAAATAAACCATTTAAAATAAATAAATAAATAAATTTTAAAAAAAATTTCCGACATGTGTCCTATTCTACTATATTACTGAATGTATTCTATTTCTAAAAGTTTCCTTATAATAAAATCTTTCTATTTAATTGGAAGGTTGTTAAATTCCATGAAAAGTGTAGTGTACTGCTTGAAATGAGGGAATCGACAAGCTCGCCTTGATCAATGGCAGTTTAAATCATTATGAAATAAAAAAGATGCATAACTTGTATTCTTTTTCAAAAGAGTTAATAACAATCTATTCAACACACCAATGACACCATAATCAACATTACAATTAAATGATGATAATAAAATGATTTGTTTTAAAAACCAATAGAGAGCAAGGACAACAGCACTAAAATTACAATGTTACATAATACATAATAGAAAATAATCATTTCATTCCGATTGTCAAGAAATCTCCTTAAAAATCAGACAATAAAGAAAACAATTCTTATATGTCCTGCAGCAAAAAGATGAATTCTTAATGATTAATAAGAAAATAGTAATTTTTTAAAACATTAAACAAAACAAAATCAATTCACACAAACTGGCAATTATTCCGAATACGATGAAAGTGAAAGAAATATTGCATTATTCCTCTTTTGAAATTTCACATGATTCATGTTTTACTTTAAAAAAAATACTTTTAATACTTTAAATTTATTTTAATACTGAATATAATCATATTCCTGATTGATATAATACTATGTATTGAATTTAATAATTTCTATACATATAGAATTGATGATTAATTAAAAAAAATATATTCAGTCAATATCTTGCCTGGGACATATGCAGAATAAGTTGATAGAGTGCGGGCAGTTCTCGGGGCGGGGGCACAAGGGATATACGCATTCAAACCAATCCCGTTCAGGACCAAACCAAATTTGTCATACCTTTTATAAACACATCATAAGTGCAGAGGTTCAGTGGTAGAAAAGTGAGTTTTATGAATAAAATGTATTACCCTTCACATTTCTCATAACACAGAGTTCAGTGTATATGCGCAGGTTCTTTGCTGCCCTCAGTTGCCATTCATTTACATGTGAACAAAAAAACATGGCAGCTTTTTTTGAGGCAGTATATCTGAACAAGCCTTTAATCAATCACTGTTTTCCTCATATCTCTTACACATTTTTTAAACATCAGCATAAAATTTAAGGCCAAAAAATTGAATCTATATGAGCATTTTAAAATACAAATATGCCTGGCATATTTTCTCAGTGGAGGCGCGATAGCTCAGTCGGTAGAGTAGTGATCTCGTAATCCGGTGACCCGGGTTTGAAACCTAGTCGATGGGCTAGTGCCCTTTGGTAAGGCATTAATCCTCATTACCAGGTCCCTCGGAGAGGACCTAAAGCCGTCGGCCGTCTGGGTTGCTTACTAACAAGCATTTATGCTTTCTTAGCAGTCAGGTAAAATAACCACCACCACCATATAAATATAATGAACTGCATATAATGAACTGCATGGAAAGACAATGTCCACCACCAACAAATAAACAGATTTTTATGATGAGATTTCAGAATAAAACAACAATTAGGTCCATCCCTCTTCCTCCTCCCCCTCAAAAAAAAAATAACAGCAACAACAATAAAGCATTCTAAATACCAAGGAGTGGTAAGTCAATCATCACAATGAAGACCTGAATAGTACTCATACTTTAAGGCTACCTTGAGAAAAATTATAAAAAGTACAATTTATCACACACGATAGAATTACCGGTATAACTTCAAGGCAAGTTTTATGGGTAATATTTACATTCATGCGATTGTCTATGATTCGAAGCTGGCTGATTTGGCCTTTCCTCTGTCAAGAAAACTTGCACTGCAATAAAATTTAAAAAAAATTCTACTATTCATATTAGTATAATAACCCAGAGTCAGGAGGACTTTATTAGCTTAAATTTCCATATATCTAAAGTCATCACAATTTCTAGACACTCAGAAAGCAGTTGGATTGCGTAGTGAGCGGAGGGAGTAAGTTGTCAGCTCTCTTTGGTTCCAAACATGGCAGTTTCTATCATGAGTTCTGCCTCTCGATCTCCATCAGAGGAATGAAGTATCCATGAAATCTGCAGGCAGATGCAGTAAACCCCATATCGTGTTGCCATGGCTACGCATCCTCGGTCACTGCCACGTTCACGGATCCGCTATCACAGCTGCTCTCAGGTGATGCGTTTATGATCTTTTCATTCTACATATCAGAAGGACAACAAATTAAGAGGAAGAAGAAGAAATAAAATGAAAAATGTTTGAATAAATTTAATTTTGAGAAGGGATTAGAATTCAATAATTCATAGTAGCATTTATTGTAAAACAAGGAACATTTGCATTGAAGAAAACTTTTGCAAATTCCATGAGTACGCCAGTCTGCAAAATGTTGAAATGTACTGCTAACTGTTTTAAATTGTCTGATTATGAGAATGAAAATGTATATATTTTTATACCATGCACAATAAATGCACTATGAAAATTATTATACCAAGTTAGACAGTACCACCTGTGCCCTTAGAAACGTCTGTATAAAGCGCCCTATAAATGTAATTATTATTATTATTATTTGATGCCCTGGTATACTTTGAATAGTCTCTTGCCGCAAAAGCATCAAGCACCGTCTAAAATGTTTCAGATTTTATAATTATGTAGAGAATGGCATTTGACATTGCTCCTGCTGAAATGCTAACTATTTAAAATTTTCGGATTATGAGAACGAATATGTATTCATCTTAATATACAACATACGATGCACAATAAATGCACCATGGAAAACCCACTTTTATCCATTTTGGAAGAAATTTCAAACATTTGACCAAGTAAAGAGCAAATGAATGACCTACAGTTTGGCACTTTTCAAATTCTGGACAAAGAATAGATATGTATGTACTTTAAGTCAGTTGGAATACCTATGCATATATTGATTTCTACCAATGATAAGGCCGACAGCGGGACAGCCCCCACTTTTGTAATCTACTGAAGACAAACTCCTTTATGTGATGAACTGATTTTCGTCTCCTATTTTTGATGCCTTATTGACAGTATGACATAACCAATATTTGAATACATCATCATGATTTTCATTCACAGTAGATCTGTCCTTGATTTCTGGTGCCTCTAAACGTTTCTACCCATGCTATTATGTCACCTAGAGCTCCTTTAAATGGTATCAAAGTGAACATTTCATTTTTAGTTATGAAATTCATACTCTTGAAGGACCTTTCAATTTTGGAAATAGGTCATTAAAAACATACTAGCCAAAAAGCTAGCTATTTAAAATTTTCTGATCATCAAAATGAAAATGTATTCATCTTATACAACATACCATGCACAGTAAATGCACCATGGAAAATCCACTTTTATCCATTTCAAAAGAAAACTTCAAACATTTGACCAAGTAAAGAGCAAATAAATGACCTACAGTTTGGCACTTTTCAAATTCTGGACAAAGAATAGATATGTACACTTTAAGTCAGTTGGAATACCTGTGCATATATTGATTTCTACCAATGATAAGGCCGACAGCGGGACAGCCCCCACTTTTGTAATCTACTGATGACAAACTTCTTTATGTGATGAACTGATTTTCGTCTCCTATTTTTGATGTCTTATTGACAGTATGACATAACCACTATTTGAATACAAGGTTAACAGTAGATCTGTCCTTGATTTCTGGTGCCTCCAAACGTTCCTACCCATGCTATAATGTCACCTAGAGCTCCTTTAAATGGTATCAAAGTGAACATTTCATTTTTAGTTACGAAATTCATACTCTTGAAGGACCTTTCAATTTTGGAAATATGTCGTTAAAAACATACTAGCCTAAAGCTAACTATTTAAAATTTTCTGATCATCAAAATGAAAATGTATTCATCTTATACAACATACCATGCACAGTAAATGCACCATGGAAAATCCACTTTTATCCATTTTGGAAGAAATTTCAAACATTTGAACAAGTAAAGAGCAAATGAATGACCCACATTTTGGCACTTTTCAAATTCTGGACAAAGAATAGATATGTACACTTTAAGTCAGTTGGAATACCTGTGCATATATTGATTTCTACCAATGATAAGGCCGACAGCGGGACAGCCCCCACTTTTGTAATCTACTGATGACAAACTTCTTTATGTGATGAACTGATTTTCTTCTCCTATTTTTGATGTCTTATTGACAGTATGACATAACCAATATTTGAATACATCATCATGATTTTCATTCACAGTAGATCTGTCCTTAATTTCTGGTGCCTCTAAACGTTCCTACCCATGCTATAATGTCACCTAGAGCTCCTTTAAATGGTATCAAAGTGAACATTTCATTTTTAGTTATGAAATTCATACTCTTGAAGGATCTTTCAATTTTGGAAATATGTCATTAAAAACATACTAGCCTAAAGCTAACTATTTAAATTTTCTGATCATCAAAATGAAAATGTATTTATCTTATACAACATACCATGCACAGTAAATGCACCATGGAAAATCCATGTTTATCAATTTTGGAAGAAATTTCAAACATTTGACCAAGTAAAGAGCAAATGAATGACCCACATTTTGGCACTTTTCAAATTCTGGACAAAGAATAGATATGTACACTTTAAGTCAGTTGGAATACCTGTGCATATATTGATTTCTACCAATGATAAGGCCGACAGCGGGACAGCCCCCACTTTTGTAATCTACTGATGACAAACTTCTTTATGTGATGAACTGATTTTTGTCTTATTGACAGTATGACATAACCAATATTTGAATACAAGGTTAACAGCAGATCTGTCCTTGATTTCTGGTGCCTCCAAACGTTCATACCCATGCTATAATGTCACCTAGAGGTGTCAAAGTGAACATTTCATTTTTAGTTATGAAATTCATACTCTTGAAGGACCCTTCAATTTTGGAAATAGGTCATTAAAAACATACTAGCCAAAAGCTAGCTATTTAAAATTTTCTGATCATCAAAATGAAAATGTATTTATCTTATACAACATACCATGCACAGTAAATGCACCATGGAAAATCCACTTTTATCCATTTTGGAAGAAATTTCAAACATTTGGCCAAGTAAAGAGCAAATGAATGACCCACATTTTGGCACTTTTCAAATTCTGGACAAAAAATAGATATGTACACTTTAAGTCAGTTGGAATACATGTGCATATATTGATTTCTACCAATGATAAGGCCGCCAGCGGGACAGCCCCCACTTTTGTAATCTACTGATGACAAACTCCTTTATGTGATGAACTGATTTTAGTCTCCTATTTTTGATGCCTTATTGACAGTATGACATAACCACTATTTGAATACAATATCATGATTTTCATTCACAGTAGATCTGTCCTTGATTTCTGGTGCCTCTAAACGTTCCTACGCACGCTATAATGTCACCTAGAGCTCCTTTAAATGGTATCAAAGTGAACATTTTATTTTTAGTTATGAAATTCATACTCTTGAATGACCCTTCAATTTTGGAAATAGGTCATTAAAAACATACTAGCCCAAAGCTAACTATTTAAAATTTTCTGATCATCAAAATGAAAATGTATTTAACATACCATGCACAGTAAATGCACCATGGAAAATCCACTTTTATCCATTTTGGAAGAAATTTCAAACATTTGGCCAAGTTAAAAGCAAATGACCAAACATTTACTTAAACAATAACTGTTTACATAAATATTTGAACCTTGTAAGAGTTGTACTACTTTATGAATTATTTTAAAGTGAATTTCATTCATGAACACCTTGGAAACTGAGTATGTTTGGGGCAATAATGTGCGTACAAAGGGTTGATGTAACTGGGAGTTATTCCTTGTTTCATAAGAATGGAAAGAATAATTTCCTTCAAACATGTCATTGAATAGTTGTGGGAGATTCAATCTTATGGAAATTATCCATAAATACCAAGTTACTTCATTTAATGAGGTCAAAGATGTAAAGATTTCAGATCATGGAACAAACAAGCACTTGGGTTCTCGTTTAATCAAATTATGGAAATACAAGCATTACTTTAAAAAAACATTACTTTAAACAAACAGAACTTTGTTATTCCTGGCATTTTACCTGATTGAGGTATCATATGAAAGGGCAGAAAATGAACTTTCTAGAAATGTGATTTTTCTCTTTGAAATTCAAATACCGCCCACCAAATGACTTTTTGGTTTCCTCTCTTCAAATTGTTTTTAATCACTCATGCGTGAAATATGCATCATATGAGTTGCATCAAATGAAAGAGGAGGATCTAAGCTTTACAAATATGTGTCATTTATTAATTATAATTGTGATTAAGTTATGGTAAAACATTGATAATTCTCGGTTTCGTTTTTCTTGGACGCACTGTATAATTAGAACTTGTAATGATACGAGCAGCACGTTCTTGTTGAATATGAATTTTATGTCAATGGATTTTGTTAGTATTTCCTCATAAAATATAACAATAATTGATTTGGGGTAAAATGATACTGTTGTAAATAGTCAATAATATATTTTTTGATAAAACTTTTTTGAAATGTGATAGTATATCAACACCTCTTGGAATTAGTGAACCAGTCAGGTAGAATCGATTGTAAGCTGGAACTAAAATCAATCCCAAAAATTGATTTTAGGAAGGATATCCTTCCCAGTTAGTGAATCAACCCCAAGGGGCCCTAAGGCGGGGCACTGGCCTGCATGCTTATCCAAGTGTTATGAAATGTCTAAAATCCCTGAGTTTCATGGGGCTCAGCCACCTGGACCCACGCCAGTTAGTGACCTGCCAGAGTCATGAATAAGGTATCAAAATATGCTCATCTGACTCTAATTATATGCCCATACCCCCTGAGCTTCCAGGGGCTTTGCCCCTAGACCCCACACAAATTTACGCTACACTCTACCCGATCGTAAATACTTTAGCCTCCCCCAACCCACTTTGAAGAACGTTCAGCGGGGTCTGCATATAAGAGTGGTGGTGATGCAGATATTTATTCTGCTTAGTTGATCCTTCACGTCTGCCCCCCCCCCCTACTGAAAAACCTGGTCACGCCTGTGGGTCACCATTGTATAATAGACGATGACATTGACCAAACTTACCTGATAGGATAATAGGATTAACATTAGACTTGTGCAAGTAGAAAATAGAGTTTATCAAAGACCATTTACTCAACCATTTAGAAGTTTTCGATGTAAACACCACAGTGAGGTTTTATCAAAAAGTCTT